TTTTAAGAACACGGCTGATAGTTTGTCGAAATTGCTGATCGAACCCGGCTCTAGTTGGGTGAACCACATTAGAGCTTGGCCACATAGATTCTCCGAAAACAGCTTGCAATAGCCTGCATCCTCATCAGCCTCATCCAATTCGACTCTTCCTGCAGCGATCAGAAAGGCTGCGAGATAGCTTTTTGGATCCTCCAATCCGCTGTAAGGGTCCAATTTGAGTTTCCGGGAATCTTTGATCCTTAAACTCGCGATTCGCGGGACGAAAGGTGTTCGCCTAGCTTCTTCGATGACTCGATTGATGTCTGGCTCTGAACTTGTAGCTTGATGAAATTTTGATTTCATTTCTTTTAATTCCTGGCTAACTTTCCTCATGGTCTCGAACTGGTCGAGGTTCTCCTGCTCGTACTGAGCTGCGAGTTGTTCTTCATCCCCGAGCTGCGTCTCTTCTTCCGACGTCTGAGCTACATTATTAGTAGCACCGGGAGTTGTTTGTCCGCTGGTTTCATTTCGTGCAGCGGAACTTGGCGAGTTGAATATCCCTCTTCGGATTCCCACCGGGTTTCCTGCACTTAAAGAGCGAACACGAGTTTGTATATTATTGACGTTTTGACTAAGAGATACCTGGGATGTTTGCAACGTATCGACGGCCTTTTCCACATCCGAGAACTTTTGTGATATGTCCGACATGGTTTGCTGCATAGCTTTGAGGGTTTCGGCCAATGATGTCTCAGCAGCGTCTCCTCCGGACATTGTTGCTTATCTTGGAAGTGTGATAAAGAAAAAATCTGACCACTCAAGAACCTAACCTCCTCACAGACGGCGCCAAAATGTGGAAGTCGGATTCACACACTCAAGTATTTTATTAAGTGGGAAAGATTATTCTTGAGGGACAAAAATGAATGTATAAAAAACTTATGAATTGTTACGAAAATTGCTATAGTATTTCTTTCTCGAGAGGAAGATCCCCTTTACATGGCCATTGGCCTCTATATTTATACATAGATAAACGACATTAAAATGAGTAATTAAGTACAATTATTTCTTCTTAAATGTGTCCGTTTTGATTCTTCGGCTTTAATGCTCAACGTTTGAATTTGAGTTGACTCTGATCTTCATGGGCCTCGCCTCTTTTGGCCCAAGTGTCCTTGAACCGACTTACCCGTGTCTTCTACACCGAACTCGTGTCACAGTGCAGTCACTTCAGATTCTCGAAATGGTGACAACCACTTCGACCATCCCTTCGGCTCACGGGTCCAATGGGCTTCATCCTTTATGGGCCATTATCCTGATTACGTGGCAATCTTTGGTTGGTCTCGTACTTCTGGTGCGGGATCCGACACCAACAGAAACTATTTGAAAGCAAACTTTTAAATTGATTTGAATTTCTCTTTTAAATAAAAGTATTATTGTCTTTTAAATAAAAGTATTATTAAAACAAAAAACAACAAAATAATGTTTAACTTCACGAGACGGAGTTAGATGGTAGGACGTGTTTGGGTTGATATTAATATGAGACGATATAATACAGGTGATATTAAACCAATGGATCAATGGAGCTTCCACACCAAATCAATCTAATACAACATTATATCCAAATAGTAATAAAAATCGTATACTATTATCTGGCATCACTTGCAAACTATATTATTATACTATTTTATCATATTATATCTTCAAACAAATTATATAATTTGATTCATACAAAATATTTAATCCCGTGCTGTATAGCACGGGTCATGATCTAGTAATCAAAACATTTGCTACAAGTCTACAACTAATTACAAGTAATCAAAACATTTGCTACAATTACGGGTCATGATCTAGTAATCAAGACATCATCACCGGTTTAAATATTCCGGTGTAAGTATACAAATGATTGGTTTTGATTCCCTTATTGACTATACGTGGATTGCTATAAGTCACTTTCTCTTTTTTATATTACAAGATGTAATTTATAAAAACATAAGAGAGACATTCTAAAGGGTGAGTATAATTGAGATTACTTACTTTACTCTTGCCGGCCTAATTGGTAAATAAGTATTTAATATACAATAAGTCAGATATCTCTGTGTCCATTATATTCTTTTTGTTTTTATTTCAACAATGAAGGCTAAACTAACCAGTTTAATATGAATAATCATAATAAATTTGAGTTAATTTTCTTAGACATAATCACATAAATACCTATGAATATTTACACTTTTAGTATAATGTTTAGGGATTTATATGAATCATTCTATACAACCTCTAATTCTCCATTTTATTTATATGACTGATTGTTTTTTTTTAATGCATTACCTAATAAAAGCAATTAGAGATTATGAAAAAAAATTTGAAATCAGAAAACAAATATTAAAATGGAAGTAAACTTGGAGAAACGATCTCTCATAACAACAATCTCTAATTGAGTTTCTACCAAAAAAAATAAAAAATAATCTCTAATTGATTCAAAAACAAAAGTTATTTGGGTAATAAATTCTGAAAGGTGCAAAATGCAGTTATTTGTCAGTAAAAGAGAGAATCCCAACAATTAATATATAATCTAACCATTATTTACTTAACAAATATGGATTTGGAAGTAAAAGGAAATGATTATAACCAGATTCTGCATGAACCCTTTCTTATCTATTCAATGTATTCATAGTAATCACCATTAATGCGAATATAACAAAACATATATTTTGGACTTTCAAGATTTTTATATTCTAAGATTTTGCAATCAAAACTCAGTAGAACAAAAATGAAGATTGTAAGGATAGTGAAGTCACCTTACCTTGTCATATGTTGCCTTCTCTTGATCATTCTCTGGTTATTGTCTCATCATCATCATAATCATCATCACTATTGTGCTCCATACATGAATACTATCAGAGGAACACAATTCTCGCATCTTCAACCTGTAAGATCAAGATTTATGATGCTTTTTATTCAATAACATTATTGATAGATTTGGTATCTCTGGTCATAGGAATCTTCAGGCTTATCGAGTCTACTAAAAGAAGCAGCCACAGAAGACAGGATAGTGATTATTACCATGGTGGATCGAGAATGGGCAAAACCTGACTCTATTCTTGATCTATTCCTGGAGAGTTTACGTATTGGAGAAAGAACCAAACACTTGCTAAACCATTTGATCGTTGTGGCTTTAGATGATCAAGCTTTTCGATATTGTCGTCGTGCCCACCCGCATTGTTATCTTCATAGAGGTCCGAGAAAAAAGTCAGAATCTTTAATACCCGATGGTCTTGTTACCGGTTGGAGCAAGAAGTCTTTGGTTAAAGAAATTTTAGAACTCGGTTACCACATAATGTTCACCGTAAGTTCTCTTAATGCAAAAGTTTCCCTTTCTACAACCAGTTTTTATTGAACAAGTATGACTTAGTATTCAAGAAATTTAATGTTTTTTCAAACACTGATTTATATCAATCTGTCTGAATTTGGATGCAGGAAGCAGATGTGATGTGGCTAAGAAATCCTCTAATGCACTGCCACCCACAAAATCCAATCTCAGTGGCTTGCGGGCTCTCATCGAGTGATCATCAACATGATCATTTAACAACAGAAAACACAGGAGGTTTCTTCTATGCCAAGTCCAATGATATAACCATAGACTTTTTTAAGATCTTGAACGTGGAGAGGGTTTTGTATCCTGCAACTGGAAATCAATCCTTGTGTGACATTGTCAAGCGCAAAGATGTAATCAACGCCCTTGATATGAAAGTAACCTATTTGGATGATGCTAACTTTGGGAGGTTTTGTCAACCAAATCCACAAGATCAAAGCAAGATAACTACAGTCCATGCAAGTTGTTGTAATGATACAAAGAGTAAGGTGCATTACCTAAAGCTACTTCTCCAAGACCGGAAAAATATGAACCCGCAATAGACAATTCCAAGCCAATGCGGAGGATTTTATCCGTTATAAACATTTTAACATATCTATACTAGTATTTTTGCAGTCAATTTAGATGGGTAAAAATGCAGTGGATAATTCCAAGCCAATGCTGAGGATTTTATCCGTTATAAACATTTTAACATATTTAACAAATAAAAATTTAATCGACTGAGGCTTGAGAATCCATGGATATGCAGAGTGAAAGAGAGAGATTGGTGTTCTTCGAACATGCTCGCAAAGTATCAGAAGCTACCCGAAGTCAAAAACCCTTTATTTAGATGCATGCTGACGTTAGTCTTCTTTTTTTCTTTCTAAGTTCATTCATGTTTGTTTTGATTATCGTTTTTTCTGGAGGATTTATGTGAAATTCGATGTAGAATTTGTGATTTCATAGCGTAATTCAAATTGGGTTTTATGTTAACTTATTTAATTTGAAAAAAAAACTTATATTATTTGGCAAGGTAATATGATTGAATAATAAAAAACCATCATTTATTTTTTATTTTAAAAAATTTCCATAATAAAACCATACTTTATACACTACGTCCTTACATAAAACCATAATAAATCATCAGTTATAAGATACCGGAATCAAAATTAATCTAAATTGTTGGAGGAACATCAATCTCTGTTTCTTCATAATTCATGCTTTTTCAACCATAAAAGTGTTTAATTATATATTTTTTTAATTAATATCGAATTATATTTTAAAAATATTCATTTCATTAACTAGTTATATTTTTTTCTATAATATATTATTTTGACAATATCAAAATATATATTTAAAAATTTTAAAACTCAGATTTTTAGTGTTTCTTTATAAAAATTTTATTGTTCATTGGGCTGTCTTTAGCAAAAAGCCAATACGGCCCATTAAGCTATTCTGTAGGATATGAATATGATTATGATTCTGACATAAATTTTCCTGATACGTTACGGAAGAGAAGATTAAAAAGAAAAAAAAAATCGCGAAGCTTGAGAATCCATGGATTTGCAGAGTGAAATCGGGAGATTGATGTTCCTGATGTAGATAAACTACAATTTCTCAATTGAATCCAAATCACAAACACCAAACTGAATCGTCGTTCATAAAACGAGAATTCAAATCTCATGTGGTAGAGCTTAGAAGTAGAAACAGCTCTAGCAACAATGAAATATCAAAACCTTAAAGAGTTTACAGAGAGAATTGAAGAAGAAGAAGAAGATTACACAAATTTCTGGTTATTTTCCTGCAAATGAAGATCATTTGCTATATATCTCTGCTTCTCGATTCTTCCTCTAACAATGCCATCAACCACTCATCTCTTGCCACGTCTCACAGCTATTGTTTCCACTCATCTACAGCCACGTGTCGTTATGATATATCAATGCCTCGTTGACGAGATGGGAAGGAGCACTAGTGGAAATTTCACAGTTTCAGAAAGTCTCTGAAGTCAAAACAAATGATTCTAGGTGCTTTTTCTTCTGTTTTTTTTTAGTTAGCTTTGATGATACTTTTCAAATTCAATTTAAGAACATAACTAGCATTGATTCTGCCCGTAAATGTGAACTCTTATGGTAGAATTTCAATATTCTCTTGACACAAAAAGAGTATAGTGTTTATATATATAGTATCACTTTTGACCTTGCTTCAAACTGGCACTCAAGATTCAGTAGTAGTGCTACTTATTCATGTTTTGCAGTTTTAGTAAGAAGGATGTGTTTTGAGGTAACAAATGTTGGTAATTAGCTTTGCGTTCTTTGCCCACTGGTGTAATGATCTTGGCAGAAGAAGGACAGAGTAGTAGTGGAATCGAAGTGGGCAAATCTGAAACTGGAGGCAACAGAAACCACCACATAGACGAAGAAGCAGAAGCTTTTAAGTTCCCTCAAGATGAAAACATCAAAAACAGTAAACATGCAGGTCACTGGAGTTGGCTTAGGAAGCTTCGTCTGGGGAAGAAGAAGATGAAGATTAATAAGACAGAGCTGAGTTCGAGACAAGTCTCAAGATCCAGTGATGATACCTGAGAATCTTCATGAGGTATTATGAGCCTGAAGCTGTTCAGCTTTCTAAAGATGAAATCATCACAGGTTGTTGGATTTTGCTTGGGAAGAAGACTATTAATTGGTAATAGAAATGTCAACTCAATCCTCAAAGCTTTTGATTCTTTGACATTTCTCATCATAGTGGCATTACTAAATGAGATTCTTTTCAGTTTTGTGAAGATGTGCCTTGAATTCCCGAGGGAGATTTGTTGTTGATGAATACAGTAAATTCCAGAGGGAGATGTTTTCTTGCAGAAACCGGAGAACGAAGTCTATCGGAGATCATTGGAATTGGCTTCCAAGGTACTTCTTTATTGTAAAAGGTTCCTCTAATTGGTCCTCTTTCAAGGAATTGAAATATACGGTCTTAGCAATAGGAACTGCGAGGTCGTTTGGATCAATGGATATATAGTGACTCTTAGAAGGAAAGTAATGTATCTGAATCATATCATATCTTTAGTGTAGAAAAACATATTGTACAGTGTAGAAAAAATAATTTTCAATTTTCAAATTCAATTTAAGAACATAACTGTCATTGATTCTACATGGAAATGTGAACTCCTATGGTAGTTTTTATGTATATAGTCACTTTTGACCTTGCTTCAAACTGCACTCAAGGTTCACGTTTTGCAGTTTTAGTAAGAGGGATGTGTTTTGAGGTAACAAATGTTGGTAATTAGCTTTGCATTCTTTGCCACTAATAACCACGTGAGAATGCTATTCAACAGTCTCACGAATGTTCTGAAAATCTTGTCTTTTATCTATCTTTTATTAGTTTCATAATCAGAGGAATTTATAACTTATTCTTGTTAGCACAAGGAAGCTGATGCCTATGTATGCAAGCTTTATACAATTGATTACAAAATCATAAAAGTCAGTGGTCTTCAACGACTGTGGGGACACATGTTTGTAACTTTGTATTTTTCTGTAGAAATTTCTTTGGTGTTTCTTACTATAGTGAAAGTGGGAAACACAGTGTTAGGTGGTCCTCGATGACTTTGGGGGCACATGTTTGTTTTTTTTCTCTTATCTTATCATTTTCCCCTTAATATATGTATAGCCCATTGTGATACCTTCTTCTTCAAATCTTACTTTTACTCTATCTCTCATGGCTTCTTCTTCATCTTCTTCACCGTCTGACTTCAAGAGATACCATGTCTTCTCGAGTTTCCACGGCCCAGACGTCCGTAGTGGATTTCTCAGTCATTTACACAATCACTTCGAAAGCAAAGGGATCACTACGTTCAACGATCAGGAGATCGAGAGAGGCCATACGATCGGACCTGAGCTCGTGCAAGCGATTAGAGAATCTAGAGTCTCGATTGTGGTGCTCTCGGAGAAGTATGCTTCTTCGGGCTGGTGCTTAGATGAGTTGGTGGAAATCTTGAAGTGCAAAGAAGCTTCGGGGCAAGCTGTGATGACTATCTTTTACAAAGTTGATCCGTCTGATGTACGGAAACAGCGGGGAGATTTCGGATATACTTTCAAGAAAACTTGTGAAGGGAAAACAGAGGAAGTGAAGCAGAGATGGATCAAAGCTTTGAATGATGCAGCAACCATAGCTGGAGAAAACTCTCTAAACTGGTTTGTTGTTTCTTTTGAGCTCAATATATTAGAATGCTTTTATGTTTCCTAAGTCTTATAAGACCCACCAACTTTGATTTTGTTTGCTTTTATTAGGGCTAATGAAGCAGAGATGATCCAAAAGATTGCTACAGATGTTTCAAACAAACTTAATGTCACTCCGTCCAGGGATTTCGAGGGGATGGTGGGACTTGAAGCTCACCTGACAAAGCTAGACTCTTTTTTATGCCTTGAGAGTGATGATGTGAAGATGATTGGCATTTGGGGTCCTGCTGGAATTGGTAAGACTACCCTTGCTAGAGCTTTATTTAACCAACTCTCTACCCGTTTTCGGCGTAGTTGTTTTATGGGGACCATTGATGTTAATGACTATGATTCGAAGTTGTGTTTGCAAAACAAGCTTCTGTCCAAAATTTTGAACCAAAAGGATATGAGGGTACATCATTTAGGTGCAATAAAAGAATGGCTTCATGACCAAAGAGTGCTTATAGTTCTTGATGATGTGGATGATCTAGAGCAACTAGAGGTATTGGCTAAAGAAACTTCTTGGTTCGGTCCTGGAAGTCGGATCATCGTTACCTTGAAAGATAAAAAGATTTTGAAGGCACATGGGATCAACGATATCTACCATGTGGATTATCCTTCCGAAAAAGAAGCTTTTGAGATATTTTGTCTTTCTGCTTTCAAACAAAGTTCTCCACAAGATGGTTTTGAAGAGCTTGCAAGAAAAGTAGTAGAGCTTTGCGGTAATCTTCCATTGGCCCTTCGTGTTGTGGGTTCTTCTTTTTATGGGGAGAGCGAGGATGAATGGAGGATTCAATTATATGGGATTGAAACTAATCTTGATAGAAAAATTGAGAATGTCTTGAGAGTGGGATATGACAAATTGTCAGAACGACATCAATCTTTGTTTCTTCATATTGCATGCTTTTTCAACCATAAAAGTGTTGATTATGTGACAACCATGCTCGCTGACAGTGTTTTGGATGTCGAAAATGGGTTGAACACCTTAGCCGCTAAATCTCTTGTGTCTACTAATGGGTGGATAACGATGCACTGTCTACTACAACAATTGGGTAGACAAGTTGTTCTTCAACAGGGCGACCCGGGGAAACGTCAGTTTTTAGTAGAGGCCAAAGAGATTCGCGATGTCTTGGCAAATGAAACAGTAAGTAGTACTTATCTATATATATACCCAGGATATTGCCTAATTTTGTTTGTGATAACAGTTTCACCAGTCTTCTTTTGCAATATTTGGTAGGGTACTGAATCCGTCATAGGTATATCATTTGATATTTCGAAGATCGAGGCGTTATCTATAAGCAAGCGAGCCTTTAATAGAATGCGTAATCTCAAATTCTTAAATTTCTATAATGGAAATATTAGCTTGTTAGAGGACATGGAATATCTACCTCGTCTAAGGTTACTTCATTGGGGTTCATACCCGAGAAAAAGTCTTCCTCTGGCATTTAAGCCAGAATGTCTCGTCGAACTCTATATGGGATCCAGCAAGTTGGAGAAGCTATGGGGAGGAATCCAGGTTGGTATTTGATACTTGTGATTGTGAATACGTTTGTTTACTAATGATTTAACCTTAGTATGATATTCCTCATTTTTTGTGTGTTTGACATGCAGCCCCTTACAAATCTAAAGAAAATAAATTTGGGATATTCCTCTAATTTGAAAGAAATCCCAAATCTTTCGAAAGCCACTAACCTCAAGACGTTGACACTTACCGGTTGTGAGAGTTTGGTGGAGATTCCATCCTCTATTTTGAATCTACAGAAACTGGAAATGCTGTATGCGTCAGGGTGCTCTAAGCTACAAGTTATTCCCACCAACATCAACTTAGCATCTCTTGAGGAAGTCAACATGAGTAATTGCTCACGTCTGAGAAGTTTTCCAGATATGTCTAGTAACATCAAGCGTCTCTATGTAGCAGGCACAATGATTAAAGAATTTCCTGCGTCCATTGTTGGACAATGGTGTCGTCTTGATTTTCTTCAGATAGGCAGCAGAAGCTTCAAGAGATTAACACATGTCCCAGAGAGTGTAACACATCTAGACCTACGCAACAGTGATATAAAGATGATTCCAGATTGCATCATAGGTCTCTCGCATCTAGTATCTCTTCTCGTCGAAAACTGCACAAAACTGGTGTCAATTCAGGGTCATTCCCCTTCGCTGGTGACCCTATTTGCAGACCACTGTATATCACTCCAGAGCGTATGCTGCTCTTTCCACGGACCAATCTCGAAATCGATGTTCTACAACTGTCTGAAACTGGATAAGGAATCAAAAAGAGGAATCATACAACAATCGGGTAACAAGTCTATATGCTTGCCAGGTAAAGAAATCCCTGCAGAGTTCACTCACCAAACTTCAGGGAACTTGATAACCATCTCTCTGGCTCCAGGTTGTGAGGAGGCTTTTTCTGCGTTCTCAAGATTTAAGGCTTGCCTTCTGCTTTCGCCAATCAAGGATTTCGCATTTAATAAGATAAATTGTATTCTAAGAAGCAGAGAAGGTGTCAAAATTAACTGCACTACAGAGTCCATATATCCATTTGTGTCTGGTGGATCTCTATCAGAACATCTGTTTATCTTTTGTGGCGACTTATTTCCTGAAGAAAACAGAGGCCTCATGGACGTGACTCCGAACGAGATTCTGTTTGATTTCAGCTCCAGTGATGTCGAGATTATGGAATGTGGTGTAAAGATCTTTTTGAGTAGTGGCATCGAAGTGGGCTACTCTGAAACTGGAGGCAACAGAAACCACCACATAGATGGAGAAGCAGAAGCGTTTAAGGTGGCTCAAGTTGAAAACAGTAAACATACAGGCCACTGGAGTTGGCTTAGGAAGCTTCGTCTGGGGAAGAATAATAAGACAGAGCTTAGTTCGAGAGCAGTCTCAGGATCCAGTGATGATACTCGGGGAATCTCCATGAGGTATCTTGAGCATGAAGCTGTTGAGCTCACTAAAGATGAAAGCATCACAGATCTTTTCCGTTTGCTATGTATTGGTTCCCTTGCGGTCTGTGTTTTCTTTTCTGTTTATTTTGGGCAACCCCTTGTGGTCTCTGTTTTGTTGCTTTTTTATTGCTTGTTTCTTCAATTGCAATGACCTGCATCACAGACAGATCTTTTTGTGGAAAAAATTTGATGCTGAATTTGTGATTTCATGGCGTAATTCGAATTGGGTTATTTGTAGAATATGACAGAGATGGGGAGGAGCTTTACTGGAAATATCACATTTTCAGAAAATCACAGAGTCAAAACAAATGATTCTAGGTGCCTTCCTTTTTTTACTATTTCTTCTGTTTTTTTTAGTTTGCATCAAAATCGAATTAGCTGGAGATGTGAACTCTTATGGACTTAAGAGTAGTCTTTAATTATGTATCTTAAGATGTGCGTGGTGTTTTGTAATTTGAGATATATTTTTTTGGCTTCCAAGGTACATCTTTATTGTTAAAGTTTCCTCAAATTGGTCATGTTTCATCTTTTGGTTCTGATTTAAGATAAGAAACTGAGATCTACTTGTTGTCGAGGCTTAGCTAGTTGTCTTAGCAATAGGAACTGCGAGGTGGTTTGGTTTGATATATAGTGACTCATTGAAGGAGAATGATGTAGCTGAATCATATCTTCATGCCTAGAGATGAAGTACAGTGAAGCAATGGTTATGAATCTTTGGCTTTTGTTCGTTAGACCAAATGTTGGTAATTAGCTTTGCATTCTTTGCCCACTGGTGTCAAATAATTGGACAATGAACGTCTATTTAATCTTATGATAATTGGTCTTTATCTTAATCTGTAGATTTTAATAACAGAGAGGAATATATAACTTATTCTTGTTATATGCAAATGCAAGCTTTACAAAATGAAATACAAAATCGTAAAAGTCATTCGTCCTCGACCACTATACTATAGTGAAAGTGGGAAACATATTCACTCTTATGGGGTCCTCGATGACTTTGGGTACACATGTTTGGTTTTTCTAAATTTTCTTTGTAATTTCTCATATCTTTACGCGTGTTCCTTCATTTTTCCCTTCAATCTCACTTTTACTCTATCTCTCATGGCTCCTTCTTCTTCTTCATCGCTTGACTTCAAAAGATACCATGTCTTTTCGAGTTTTCACGGCCCAGACGTCCGTAATGGATTTCTCAGTCATTTACACAATCACTTCGAAAGCAAAGGGATCACTACGTTCAACGATCAGGAGATCGAGAGAGGCCATACGATCGGACCTGAGCTCGTGCAAGCGATTAGAGAATCTAGAGTCTCGATTGTGGTGCTCTCGGAGAAGTACGCTTCTTCCGGCTGGTGCTTAGATGAGTTGGTGGAAATCTTGAAGTGCAAAGAGGCTTCGGGGCAGGCTGTGTTGACTATCTTTTACAAAGTTGATCCGTCTGATGTACGGAAACAGCGGGGAGATTTCGGAAATACTTTCAAGAAAACTTGTGAAGGGAAAACAGAGGAAGTGAAGCAGAGATGGATCAAAGCTTTGACTGATGTTGCAACCATAGCTGGAGAACACTCTCTAAACTGGTTTGTTGTTTCTTTTGGGCTCAATATATTTGAATGCTTTAGCGGAGGAGCTTCTATCATTTAAGACCCACCAATATTTTTATTTGCTTTTGTTAGGGCTAATGAAGCAGAGATGATCCAAAAGATTGCTACAGATGTTTCAAACAAACTTAATGTCACTCCGTCCAGGGATTTCGAGGGGATGGTGGGACTTGAAGCTCACCTGACTAAACTGGACTCTTTGTTATGCCTCGAGTGTAATGATGTGAAGATGATTGGCATTTGGGGTCCAGCGGGAATTGGTAAGACTACCATTGCTAGAGCTTTATTTAACCAACTCTCTACCGGTTTTCGGCATAGCTGTTTTATGGGGAACATTGATGTTAATAACTATGATTCAAAGCTGCGTTTGCATAACATGCTTCTTTCCAAGATTTTGAACCAAAAGGATATGAAGATACATCATTTAGGTGCAATTAAAGAATGGCTACATAATCAGAGAGTGCTTATAGTTCTTGATGATGTGGATGATCTAGAGCAACTAGAGGTGTTGGCTAAAGAAAGTTTTTGGTTCGGTCCTCGAAGTCGGATCATCGTTACCTTGAAAGATAAAAAAATTTTGAAGGCACATGGGATCAACGATATCTACCATGTGGATTATCCATCCAAAAAAGAAGCTCTTGAGATATTTTGTCTTTCTGCTTTCAAACAAAGTTCTCCACAAGATGGTTTCGAAGAGTTCGCAAGAAAAGTAGTAGAGCTTTGCGGTAACCTTCCATTGGCCCTTTGTGTTGTGGGTTCTTCATTTTATGGGGAGAGCGAGGATGAGTGGAGGCTTCAGTTATATGGGATAGAAATTAATCTTGATAGAAAAGTTGAGGATGTCTTGAGAGTGGGGTATGACAAGTTGTTGGAGAAACATCAATCTCTGTTTCTTCATATTGCATGCTTTTTCAACCATGAAAGTGTTGATTATGTGTCAACCATGCTCGCTGACAGTACTTTGGATGTCGAAAATGGGTTGAAGAACTTAGCTGCTAAGTCTCTTGTGCATATATCTACTCATGGTCGTATAAGGATGCATTGTCTACTACAACAATTGGGTAGACACGTAGTTGTTCAACAGTCTGGCGAGCAGGGGAAACGTCAGTTTTTAGTAGAGGCCAAAGAGATTCGTGATGTACTAGCAAATAAAACAGTAAGTTCTTACCTTTATATATTATCTTGATATATCGTTCAATAAATCTTGAATGATGGCAATATTCATCTTTCTTCTTTTGAATGATTGTTACTAGGGTACTGGGTCTGTCATAGGTATATCATTTGATATGTCTAAGATAGGCGAGTTCTCTATAAGTAAGCGAGCCTTTGAAAGAATGTGTAATCTCAAGTTCTTAAAATTCTACAATGGAAATGTTAGTTTGTTAGAGGACATGAAATATCTACCTCGTCTAAGGTTACTTCATTGGGATTCATACCCGAGAAAAAGTCTTCCTTTGACATTTCAGCCAGAATGTCTCGTTGAACTCCATATGCGATACAGCAAGTTGGAGATGCTATGGGGAGGAATCCAGGTTGGTACTTGATACTTGTGAATTTGTTACTAAAGATTGATTTAACCTAAGTATGATATTCCTAATCGTTTTTTGTTTGACATGCAGCCCCTTGCAAATCTCAAGAAAATAGACTTGGGATACTCCTTTAATTTGAAAGAAATCCCAAATCTTTCGAAAGCCACTAATCTCGAGACATTGAAACTTATCGGTTGTGAGAGTTTGGTGGTGCTTCCCTCGTCTATTAGAAATCTACACAAACTGGAAATGCTGGATGCGTCAGGGTGCTCTAAGCTACAAGTTATTCCCACCAATATCGACTTAGCATCTCTTGAGGAGGTCAAAATGGATAATTGCTCACGACTGAGAAGTTTTCCAGATATTTCTAGAAACATCGAGTATCTCTCTGTAGCAGGCACAAAGATTAAAGAATTTCCTGCGTCCATTGTTGGATACTGGTCTCGTCTTGACATTCTACAGATAGGCAGCAGAAGCCTCAAGAGATTAACACATGTCCCACAGAGTGTAAAATCTTTAGACCTAAGCAACAGTGATATAAAGATGATTCCAGATTACGTCATAGGTCTCCCGCATCTAGGATATCTAAACGTTGACAACTGCAGAAAACTCGTGTCGATTCAGGGTCATTTTCCTTCGCTGGCCTCTCTATCTGCAGAGCACTGTATATCACTCAAGAGTGTATGCTGCTCTTTCCATAGACCAATCTCGAATTTGATGTTCCACAACTGTCTGAAACTGGATAATGCATCAAAAAGAGGAATCGTACAACTATCCGGGTACAAGTCTATATGCTTGCCAGGTAAAGAAATCCCTGCAGAATTCACTCACCAAACTAGAGGGAACTCGATAACCATCTCTCTGGCTCCAGGTGGTAAGGAGGTTTTTTCTGTGTTCTCAAGATTTAAGGCTTGCCTTCTGCTTTCGCCAATCAAGAATTTCGCATTTAATAAGATAAATTGTATTCTAAGAAGCAGAGAAGGTGTCAAAATTAACTGCACTACACAATCCATATATACATTTGTGTGTGGAAGATCTCTATCAGAACATCTGCTAATGTTTTGTGGCGACTTATTTCCTGAAGAAAACGGATGCCTTATGGACGTGACTCCAAACGAGATTCAGTTTGAATTCAGCTCCAGTGATGACAATGTTATGGCATGTGGTGTAAAGATCTTGGCAGAAGATGGGCAGAGTAGTAGTGGCATCGAAGTTGGCTACTCTGAAACTGAAGGCAACAGAAACCACCGCATAGATGGAGAAGCAAAAGCTTTGAAGGTATCTCAAGTAAATAACATAAAAAACAGTAAACATACAGGTGACTGGAGTTGGCTTAGGAAGCTTCTTCTAGGGAAGAAGAAGATGAAGAGGAATAAGACAGAGCTTAGTTTGACACCAGTCTCAGGATCCAGTGATGATACACAGGGAATCTTGATGAGGTATCATCACCCTGAAACTGTTCAACTCTCTAAAGAAGAAAACACCACAGATCTTTCGCGTTTGCTATGTATTGTTTCCCTTGTGTTCTCTGTTTTGTTGATTTTCCATTGCTTGTTTCTTCAAATGCAATGACCTGATGCATCACACATCTTGTTGTGTTTAGACGTAATTTGTTGTATCTGTTTGTTTGGTGTTAGTTTGTTGTTACTAATAAAAGTGTTTGATTGTGTGAAAAAAAAAAAAAAGAGTTTTCTGTAACACCTCAACTTTCATTGAATACTAGATAAAGATCCGTCAGATGAACGGGTTTAATTTTTTCAGACGGGTTTAATTTTTTAAAAATTTAAATCAAATTTAATAAAATATTAATTAAAAATGTTTTAAGTAGAAATTTTCTTTCAAAAGTAAAAACAATATTTATTTTTTCACTGTTGCATTGTTTCTTTAACCACTAAAACTAGATCATCACCCGTACTGTAGTATGAGTTAAATTTTATTTATTACAAGATATATATATTATATATTTTAGAATAAAGTTGTGATATATTATAATAGTAATTGAAAAAATATAATCAGATTTTTGTTAGAATGAATATATTTTCTTTTTTTAATTATACTCAATTATGGATATATTTTTTTAAGATATGAAAACGGAAAATAAAATTATTTTAATAAATTAATATGGTCTGAACAATGAGTTAATTTATATTAACAACCACAAAATGAGATTGCATATAATTCAATTAGATCAAAAATGAAAATATTATAAATGAATCGCTTCTAAAACGTAGATTATCTTTAATTAATTAAGAAAGTTAGCTATTATTTTGAATTAATTTAGGAAATTCTTTTTCAATTTCTAATTCTTTGGTTGTTGAAATAGAGATTTGTTTGAGGTAACTACGGAATTTACCAATTATTCGAGTAATCGAATATGTTATGAACATATATTTAGTATATAATATACCAAATTCAAACTGTGCATGGAGTCTATATTTTTATTTTAGAATCCTAATGAAAATATTGCGTGCACAATTTAATTATTCGTTATTTCCAAAATTGCTTGCACAATCAAATTTTCAAATATTTTGTGGTGTCAACCTTATTTAATCTATCTGATCATATAATCTTAACATGTCGTCTATTATAAGGATCATAATTTTATATCATATAATATATTACATTTAACCCTTCGCCTACTATAACTATTTTAAATATATCTTTTTAGAAAATCAAATTAAAGAATTTATAATTTTTTTTTATCTTTTTAATCTATTAAATATTTATGATATTCATTAAAATATTAAATTAAACTATTTTTAAATGTTCCAAATTAAAATCTTTAAAAATATTTCTTGTAGTATATAAAATTATGAATTTCAAAAAAGAATTATATGAAATTAAATAGAAATATTAAAACAGTTGTAAGGATCATAACTCATTTGTTAATATATTATATTTAACCCACTGCCTATTATAAATATTTGTTTAAAAAAATCAAATTAGAGTATTTATTGATGATATTCTTTAAATATTGATGATATTCTTGAAAAATATCAAGTAAAACTAATTTTATATGTTGCAAATTAAAATATTTAAAAATCTTATTGTAGTATATAAAATAATACATTTCAAAAAATAAATGTATGAAATTGAATATAAATATTCAAATTCTGACCCGTTACTCAGTCAAAATTTTTGTTGAACTTATTTTTGGTTAAAAGAAATATATTACTCAAATGTGAATTTTTGACCCGTTAAATTGTTTTCTTCATAGATTTAACAATTTATATTCGTTTTTAAAAATTCAAATCTTGGCATATGCAGAAAAAATTTACTTTTTTTGTTATATGGATGATATGATGATTTGTTTGTTTCATAAAAATAGAATCATATAAAGATGAAAGGTGAAGTATAATGATTAATAACAAATTAATATGGTAAGTTAGATATCAAAGCTTATATGTTCATTTTGATTGGTCAATCTTTTTTTGAAGTTAATAATATATTTTCGTTTTTAATAATTAAATTAATTAAATTTCATAAATTAGTATTTGACTTGTTTATCCTTAATGAGATGAATTAATTTACTCTTTATATTTTTATCTCTAATGACATTCTAATGTAATAACTTACAAATGAGAGGGTTATTAAAGGGTAATTATAAATTGTACTCCCCAAATAATAGTGTAGGATTATTAATTCAAAATTATTTCAAATGAAAGATATATCACATAGCAATAACTAATGGTATACTTATATGAAGAACAAAAATTAAAAATATTCATCATAAAGTTGTGAATGAAACCAAAGTGGTGTTTAATTAGACACGTTAAATATATAAAGATTATAAATCGACTAAATCCCTTACGCTTCCAAGCTAACGTTGCGGGTTCGATTCATGTATACTTGATTGCAATGAATTTATAATCAATCAATAAAAATTGATAAATTCATCACGTATTTCTAATTGGAAAGAAAATTGAGAATAATAATAAAAATTGGAAAGAAAATTGAGATAAAAGATAAAAATGAAGAGGTTCAAGTTCAAATATTTAATTTTGACCAACATTTTTATCATCATTTTCATTAGTTTCATCATAGATCATATAAAGGTGCCTCCAAATCTAGTTTGTGATAGAAAGATCTTAAAACTCAGAGTCTTCTCAAATTAGTTATATGTATTTTAAATCTTAATATTTTCAATTTTTATTTATCAAGTTTCCAAAGTCAATAAAAAAGATTTGTCGCGTTTTTATTTTGGAAACGTGAGTTTCCATCGTGTTTCCAAACATAGATTTTTAGGAAACGCGTTTCCGTGACGTTTTCGTGTTTTCGAAGAGTTTCCGTTTCCGAAACGTTTCGGAAACGGAAAACGGACCTCGAGGAGAGTTTCCATGCAACATAGCTGATAACGATTCATGGTACTATTAATTACTAACTTCGGGAAACAAAAATATATCATATTAATTATATAATAACATATGTTTTCTTTTTAATAAATATGCCTGATTTTTTTCTTGTTTAATTGAAATATATATTTTTAATTATAAAAAACGTATAATTTCTTTATTATTATCTTTTGAAAATTTTTAAATTGTTTATAGAAATATTAGTTATTTACAATTATCCTTATAATATCTTTTACATTTTTAAAATTATTTAAATTTATAATTACTTTCAATTATCTTTTTTTTTTTATTTTAAAAAGGAAATTTTTATTTTACACATGTCAAAATCTAAGATCGATAGATTTATCACGTGTCACGATCCTATGAGTTACTAACTTTGAAAATCATACTTTATATAATAAGATTAACATTTGTAGAAAAAAAAAAAGTGGTTGTGTATGTGAAACAAAAAAAGAGTTGTGTTCTTTGTAATGTTCATTGGGCTGACTTCAGCGGAAGCCCATAAGGCCTATTAAGCCCACTTAGTACTAATCGGACGAGAAGAGTGAACCGACTTATATTAGGATTAAGCTCGTCTTCCTTAAATTTTCGTTTTGTGACGGAAGAATAAAAAAATCAATCGCGAGGCTTGAGAATCAATGGATATGCAGAATAAAAACGAGAGATTGATGGTCTTCGAACATGCTCGTCAAGTATCAGAAGCAACCTATGTCAAAAACCCTTTAGATGTCGATGTTAGTCTTTTTTTTCTTTCCTGGGTTCATTCATATCTTTTGATTTATCGTTTTTTGAAGAATTTATGCGAAATTCGATGAAGAATTTTTGATCTCATGGCGGAAATCGAATTGGGTTTCTTTGATATTTTTTTGTAGAATTTGACGAGATGGGCAGGAGCTTTACTGGAACTATCACAGTTTCAGAAACCCTCAGAGTCAAAGCAGATGATTCAAGGTTCTTTTGTTATTTCTTCTCTTTTTAGTATTGTATCGACTTCAGATTAGCTTTTGATTGAATCTGCTTAGAAATTGAACATTTATGGACTTAGATGAGTCTTTATGTATCTTAAAATGTACATGTTGTTATTGAAATCCGTAATTTAATACTTAGAAGATGGAATTTTGCGTAGATGCCATTTCGAGGCTGGGAGAGGCGTTGTTAATCGATCCAAAGAAGCATGATGCTCTTTGGTTGATTGGGAATGCTCATATTTCATTTGGGTTTTTGACTCCTGATCAGACAGAAGCTAGAGAGAACTTTGAGAAAGCTTCTCAGTTCTTTCAACTAGCTGTGGAGGAGGTAAAGTCTCTTTCTTTCGTAATCCTGACCTAATCAATGTGATTGTTTTATGTTTTTCTGTGTGGTGTTTTGTAATTTGAGATGTGTTTTTGCAGCAACCGGAGAACGAACTCTATCGGAAATCAGTGGAATTGGCTTCCAAGGTACATCTTTATTGTTAAAAGTTCCTGATTTAAGAAATTGAGATCTACTTGTTGTCGAGGCTTAGCTAGTTGTCTTAGCAATAGGAACTGTGAGGTGGTTTGGTTTGATATATAGTGACTCATAGAAGGAGAATAATGTATCTGAATCATATTTTTATGCCTAGATATGAAGTTTTAGAAAAAACACAATTGTACAGTGAAGCAACAGTTATGAATCTTTGGTTTTTGTTTGTTTGACCAATTCTCCTTCTCTCTCTGCGAAACTGCAGGGTCCAGAACTACATACAGAGGTTCACAGACACGGTTTAGGCCCACAACCATTAGGCGGCACCGCTGGACCATCATCTACCAGTGCAAAGGTTGTTTCTTTTATCCAAAACTACAAATTGGTTTTGATGAAAATCTAACATGTTTGTTCTTTCTCACAGACTATGAAGCAGAAAAAGAACAGTGAGTTCAAGTATGATGTGTTCGGATGGGTCATCTTAGCCGGTTACGTTGTTGCGTGGATCAGTTTTGCCAAATCTCAGATGCCGGAGTCAAGGCAATAACACTCACCAAGAGCGTCTAAAGACCAGGACTTTTTCTTATGCATTTTGAATCAAAAGAGTTTTATCATTGTAACAACTCCTAGAACAGATTTGAAGTTATGTATCAGAGACTCAGAAAATGTATAAGAACTCATATTATCCTTTGGAAATTAACATACAAATCAGTGAAGACATTATACCTAACTCAGAAGAGTACTCTTCATGATCACCTTCTTCTTCCCTATCATTTAGCTCTGACAAAGACTCCAAATGTAACATGTTTCTCTTTGGGTACGATCATTTGGTTAACAAAAATATCAGTTTTCTTTACTGTTCATGTACGGTTCCGCGAGTAGTAGGACCGGTTCTCCAATCTGGAAAACAATGAGGTGACTTTTGCTTTTCCTTCTACTACCTTTGTCCATGGTCAGGTTCTAGCTTTGAAGATTAACAGTTCATCTTGTCCTAGCGATAGTAACTGCTAGGTGGTTCGAATTTATCGACTCATAGAAGGAGAATAGTTCATCTGAATCATGGTCCTTTCGCCTATAGATGAAGTTTTGAGTTAAAAAAACACACATTATATAGTGAAGCAATGGTTATGAATCTTTGGTTTCTGTTCTTTAGACCAATTCTTCTTCTCTTTGTGCTAAAGGGCAGGCTCCAGTACTACATACAGAGGTTCACAAACATGGTTTTTACGTCCACAACTATCAACAACCTCACAAAGCTATGAAGAAAAAGAAAGAACACTGATTCCAAGTACTATCATCAACCCCACAACAAATGGATTACGTTGATCGGTTTTGCCAAATCTCAGATACCGGTATCGAAGCAGTAACACTCACCAAAAGAGAGTCTAAAATCAGAACTTCTTATTCATTTTCAAACTAAAGAGTTTCTCATTGTAAACAACTCTGTGAACAGATTCAAGATTATGAAATAAGAGAATCAGAAAATGTGTATGAAGAACTATTATGAGTATCTCTCTACATTACTGTTGAATCAAATTGTCTTCTAAAGATCAATGAAGACCATAGTCACCCAACTCAGAAGAGTACTCTTCATGAACACCTTCTTCTTCTTCTTCTTCTCCATTGTTTAGCACTGTGATAGACTCTCCCAAATTAACCTGTTTCTCTTTCGGAACAATCATCTGATTAAAGCCATGAACAGCAATCCAATCGTTGACAAACAAATCTGGATATATGAGTGGAAATCCATTAAGAAGAAGTATATCACCAGACCAAGAAACCTCAATTTCATACCCTTTAAGAACACTTTGCAGAATCGCTCCTTCCTTAGCCAATTTCTGAAGATCTTTCCATAAAAGAAGTCGATTGATTACATGTCCTCTGAAAATAGTAACGTAATCGGAGAATTTGGTACTTGGATTTGGAATTGCTTCGTCGATTGGAGCAAAGACTGTGATCTTCGTGTCGTTTCCTGAAGTATCTTCTAATTGCAGAGCGAGAAACGTAGCTATGATCACGAAACCTCTTGACATTAACAATCTTGATGCCGATTCAAAGTTGTTGAAGCAATTCACTGGTTTTGATCCATTTGGAAGATTTCGAGTGGAATCGGAAGCGAATTTAGGACTTGGAGGTGTGTGAGTCGCTGAACTAGGGATAGGGATTGAACCAGTAGATGAGGTAGTGTTTGGGATTGAAGAAGACGATGATGAATCGTCGGAGATCTTCGTCGGGGATGTGAAAAACTCGCCGGATCCGTAAATCACGATGTAGCCGTCGTCAAAAACAGGAGAATCTTGGACTACGACGTTGTTGATCGAAATTATACGTCCGAATCGCGAAGAATTCGTGACGGTTAGAGAGGAATCAGATCTGAGAGTAGGGATTTTGGCGCCATTTGGGAGGTTTCTTAGGGTTTCTCCGGGAAGTCTCGTCGGAGAGAGCTGGTATTTGATATCAAGAAGCGAAGGTTGACCAAATCTGGAGAAATCTTGATCAGAAGGTGCGAAGATGGTGAGTTCTTGCCAATCTTCGAGGTTTAGATCTTGATTCGCGAGCTGTAGAGTGAGTCCCATGGATAAGTAGCCAGAATCGGAGAGCACTTCTACGGCGGATGAAACAGATGTCAGAGAAGGTGCGACGAGATCGAGAACGAAAAATAGGAAGAAGAAGGTCGTTAGAATCTTCGACGCCATTGATGCGTTCTTCGAGCTTTTTTTTTTTCTGTTTTCTTTTGGTTTCCCGTTGAGAAAAGCCGTTGCAGGGGAAGTTACAGCGTTTAGTCCGTCCTATTTAAGAGCGGGAAAATATTTACTGGGCTTTTTATTCATAGGCCCACAGGCCCATATGTCTTTTCTTTTTAAGTATTCACATTTTCCCTCCTGTTTCTTTTTATTTCCCTCTCTAGGAGCGGGAAAATATTTTCACATTTCCCTCCTATATCCCCAAATTTTCAAGATAAATATCTCAATCACAGATCCATAATAATTCACACAAAAAAAAAACTCATAAATCTTCTTCATAGAAAAAAATGCCTTCGATGCCAGAGGAACCAATCCTAACACCAACACCAGATCGATTCTGTATGTTCCCAATCCAATACCCACAGATCTGGGAGATGTACAAGAAAGCCGAAGCGTCCTTCTGGACCGCCGAAGAAGTCGATCTCTCTCAAGACAATCGCGACTGGGAAAACTCACTATCCAACGACGAACGTCACTTCATCAAACACGTCCTCGCCTTCTTTGCCGCATCAGACGGAATCGTTCTGGAGAATCTCTCGACCCGATTCATGTCCGATGTTCAGATCTCAGAAGCTCGTGCCTTCTACGGATTCCAAATCGCGATCGAGAATATTCATTCTGAGATGTATAGTCTCCTTCTCGACACTTACATCAAAGACAACAAAGAGAGAGATCATCTCTTTCGCGCAATCGAAACCATTCCTTGTGTGACGAAAAAAGCAGAATGGGCTATGAAATGGATCAACGGATCTCAAAGCTTCGCTGAGAGAATCGTAGCTTTTGCTTGCGTTGAAGGTATATTCTTCTCTGGTAGCTTTTGTTCGATATTCTGGTTGAAGAAACGAGGTTTAATGCCTGGACTCACATTCTCTAACGAATTGATTTCGAGAGACGAAGGTCTTCACTGTGATTTCGCTTGTTTGATCTATAGTCTTCTTAGAACTAAGCTTGATGAAGAACGTTTGAAATCGATAGTTTGTGATGCGGTTGAGATTGAGAGAGAGTTTGTTTGCGATGCGCTTCCTTGTGCCTTGGTTGGTATGAATCGTGAGTTGATGAGTCAGTACATTGAGTTTGTTGCTGATAGGTTATTGACTGCGCTTGGGTGTGGTAAGGTGTATGGTGTGAGTAATCCTTTTGATTGGATGGAATTGATTTCGCTTCAAGGTAAAACTAACTTTTTTGAGAAGAGAGTTGGTGAGTATCAGAAAGCTTCTGTTATGTCTAGTGTTCATGGAAACGCTGCGTTTAATGATGATCATGTCTTCAAGCTTGACGAGGATTTTTAGATTTCGCGTAATTGAGTTGTTTAGTATCGTAATTTTCAGTGTACTGATATCATCTTTTAATTTAATGAAATGTGTTACCTTTTTTCAAATAAAAAATGAAGAAAATATCTCTCTTTTATATTGAAATGAATGTGTAGGTGTTGGATTTTACACTTAAGTTTCGTTAGAAAACTCCATTATCGCTTTAAACAATGAGTAAAGGGGAGCTCAATTAAAGTGAAAAGCTCAATGGTTGCCATTGCTCGTGATGTCCATCGCACTAGAGCGTTACATGGAGAAAAATGAAAAATCTGTGTATCGCAATTCATTTGAATTCTCTTTGAACGACATTACTAAAAATCCATTTTTCATTCATTTCCATCACTTGTATTCGAATGATCGAATCGATACTCATTGCAAATCAGTGAAAATTTGTTTTTTTTTTCAGTTTGATTCAGTGATTATAAAACGAATATGAATATTTAATATCGTTTTCTTCTTACACTTTTCTACAAAAATCACTTTCACCGGATCTCACAATCATTCTGAACATACCTTTGTTGTTTTGGTTACATAAATAATATGTACTAACTTAAACAATAAGTTGATATGGCCGAGTTGGTCTAAGGCGCCAGATTAAGGTTCTGGTCCGAAAGGGCGTGGGTTCAAATCCCACTGTCAACATTCTCTTTTTTTTTTCCACTTGCTGACGTGTACTTATCGTCTAGTTTTAAACATGGTGGGACCTACGTTATAATATGATGACGTGTAATTTTAATGGTCACTAATCGAGTGAGACGAAACGATAAGGAGGTAAGGTAAAGAGAACTTCTTCCTCTTCTTCAACCTCACAAAAACCCTAATTTCTCCATTTCCAAATTCAAACGAATTCTCTGCTGATTTTTGTTGATTGTAGCAATGGCGATGGCAACATCGATGACTTTGAATCTAGTTGGGGCATTCAAAGGCTTGTCTCTCTCTTCAACCTCGTCTTTTCTCAGAGGCGATTTGAATTTTAGCCCGAAAACAACTTTCACTGTTACTCTTCCTTTGGAAAATCTTCAAGCTCCGATTCCGTTGACGATTGAGTCTGCCCATAAGAAAGGAGCTGGTAGCACTAAGAACGGTCGTGATTCTCCTGGGCAACGACTCGGCGTCAAGATTTACGGTGACCAAGTCGCTAAACCTGGCGCCATCATTGTTCGTCAACGTGGCACTAAGGTAACACTTAAGAACACTAAACTGTTGAATTTAAGAACCTCTTGTTTCAATTTCAGTCTCTTCTAGTTTTAGCTCAATTCTGGGAATTAATGGTTTTGCTTGTGTTTAGGATGAAACTGTTTTGTTTTGAGAAGATTGATTCATGAATGATGTTTTGAAACACGAAACTCTCATTGTCGAAATTGAGAAGCTCTTATTACAGATTACATTCTCTGTTAGGTTATGTTTGTGTCTAGGAAGAAACTATATTGTTTGAGAAGAATGATTCATGAATGATGTTTTATGTAGTTCCATGCTGGGAAAAATGTTGGGATTGGTAAAGATCATACCATCTTCTCTTTAATCGATGGATTAGTCAAGTTTGAGAAGTTTGGCCCTGACAGGAAGCAGGTAAAATCTGCCATCATACTGATTAAGCTTTCTTAATCTTCTTGGATTTTAAAGAAAATGCGATACTTCTTTGCAGATAAGTGTGTATCCAAGAGAAATTGTGCCAGAGAATCCCAACAGCTACAGAGCAAGAAAGAGAGAGAATTTTAGATTGCAAAGGGAGAAGAAGAAGGCGAGACGCGAGAATTACACTTACACAGTTCCTACACCTGAACTTGTTCTTGCATCTGCATCAATCGATGATGCTGAAACCAATCCGGAGTGCTAGAAGATCGAATGTGAAGTTTTCCTTGTCTCTTTTATGTTTAGTCTTGTTCATGAAAATGATCCTTTTGCTAACTTTACAAGAAAAGCTTTGTTTCAGAGGTATAAGAGTTGGTGTATGTGTCTAAATCCAAGCCTCTCTTTTGTCAAATTAAGAAATTGAAAAATGTTCATTTTCATCTATCATTGCAGAAATAGTGGAATGAAATTATATTATTCTATGCTTTTTTAATTTCATTTAAGTATTTAGCTATATCTTGTTCATCTTTAATCCACTGATTTCTCTAACGTTTACCATATATGTATATAACAATCCTTTTTGTTACCCAAGCTTGAGATCAATTTTCCCGGAATTTCCTCACAAATACATACACATATGTAAGATTGCTATATATATATATATATATAACACTAGAGCAAAAACGGTTATTGAGAAGGATTAATTAAGAAGAACAGAGATAAGTCCTAAAACAAAGCCTCATGACTACTAAAACATCCCCTGGCACAAACAGAGGCACATACACGAGTGTAATAAATGAGCTATACATAGACATGGATGTTGAGAACGACGAGGAAGAGGATAAGAAAGAGACCATAGAGAACAGTGTGAACGAAAATAGAAGCTACCGTCGTCTTCATGTTCATGAAACCCACCGGTGATTCTTTCCCCGGAAACTGCAGTATCAATCCTGGCGACAGAAACGCAAACAAAGCCGAAGCTATCAACGGTGCAGCCCAATCATGCATATCTTCTTACAAGAACAAGAACAAGAACAAGAACAAGAACAAGAAGAAGAAGAACAAGGAAAAGAACAAGAACAAGAACAAGAATAAGAACAAGAACAAGAACAAAAAGGAAAAGAAAGAGAAATGGAGAAAGAAAGAAGAGAGTGGGAAATATGGATGGGTGAAGAAAGTGATGATGGAATTGTGAGAATGAGAATCTGATAAAGTTAGTTCTTTACAATTAAAGGAAGAGAGAGAGTTTGTGGAATTTTGCTTTAGCTAAGGTGGCGGTTGAAACGATTAGAGCTTAAGCATAACAAATTTTCAGTAGTATAAATATAGAAGGTTTGAGCGGTTGCAGCTGTATATTTATGCGGTTTGAGCGGTTTAACCTATTTATGTGGTAAGTTATAAATTTCGTCGCGAATCCACCAATAATGGGATTGCGACGATTATAACCATTGTAAACAACCAGTTTTGCGATGATTATGACCATTGTAAACAACCAGTTTTCTGGTAGAGAGCTAGAGATCGTTTTTTTAATATTGTATAATTTACATGGCAGTTGTAGCATCCACGGACTAATAATATTTATAAGCTAAAGATCCACATTAGTAAAAGAAAAAGTTGTGACCATTTAGCAGTGTAAAAAGACAAGAAAACACCTGTAAACAATGTAGAGAAACGGTTCTATGTCACATTCAAAGTCCTATGTGATTCACATGAATAGCGACATATCTTTCGGTGACCAATAAATGTAAACGCCAGATTTCGAAATATGTTTGGAGGAATTTTGGTTAGTGAAATTTATTTGACTTGAGAAGACTAAATTGGATTACAAGTAATGGGTCCACCACTTGCTAAGCGATCAATAAATTCCGTAAAAAAGAGAACAATATTTGTCTACTTTTTCGATTTGACACAAATATTCTTTTTAATATGGTAATAATCAAACTTTTTGTGTATTCAATTTAAAATTATTCCTTTGGCATAAGAAGAGACGTGTAAAATTTTATAGGGAGTTTTTTTTTTAATCAAACTTTTAAATTTCCATTCAAGTTTAAACGTTCACAACTCCACTAGAAGAGGAAGAAATGACAAACGCATATAGTGCAATTTTAGCCACGAATCAGCCGAAACATTTTTTTTTTTTTTTGGGTAAAAAACAGCCGAAACATTTGCTTGTCCTAGGGATAAATTGAAAAGAAATTGCAGAGAAAGAGGAGCAGAGGGATCTAATGTCATGAAGAAACTCCACCAACTCATTACTTCTGCATTCGAGTGGAGAAGGTCTACAAGGACCTTAGAGTTTTGTTATGTATGCCATTTTGTTGTGGAACTATCACATTTTGGTACAATTTTTGTTTTTACCACTTTTTTGATGGTTTTGATTTACTCGAATAAACAAATTTGTCCGAGGCAATATTAGCAACTGTGTTAGGATCGGACCCAAAATAACCCGCGGTACACCGGTTTCCATGCAACATAGGTTTTTAGTTGTACCGATAAACCCCTGAACTCCGCAAGTGGAGCAAAATGGATTGTTTCGTATATTAATTAAGGGATTTTTGTTTAAACTATCACTTATCGGAAAAATCTTTTTGTAAGTACCATTTTCGTCAATCCCTTTCCGTTTCTACCACAATTGAGTGGTAAAGATTGTTGTTGAATGACTAAAATACCTTTAAAATATTTAGTAAAAGAAAAATAAGAAAAATTATACCGTTAAACCACGAGAGTAGTCCACTCTCTAGCACCTCGATGCATTTCTACCGGGATTGATCGGATCAACCGATAGAGTTTTTTTATGTATGCCATTTTGTTGTGGAACTATCACATTTTGGTACAATTTTTGTTTTTACCACTTTTTTGATGGTTTTGATTTACTCGAATAAACAAATTTGTCCGAGGCAATATTAGCAACTGTGTTAGGATCGGACCCAAAATAACCCGCGGTACACCGGTTTCCATGCAACATAGGTTTTTAGTTGTACCGATAAACCCCTGAACTCCGCAAGTGGAGCAAAATGGATTGTTTCGTATATTAATTAAGGGATTTTTGTTTAAACTATCACTTATCGGAAAAATCTTTTTGTAAGTACCATTTTCGTCAATCCCTTTCCGTTTCTACCACAATTGAGTGGTAAAGATTGTTGTTGAATGACTAAAATACCTTTAAAATATTTAGTAAAAGAAAAATAAGAAAAATTATACCGTTAAACCACGAGAGTAGTCCACTCTCTAGCACCTCGATGCATTTCTACCGGGATTGATCGGATCAACCGATAGAGTTTAGCAAAAAAAAAAAAAAAGTTGTATGCGAGGATAGTAATATTGAGGTTGTTGGCTGAAATGTCGTGAGACATGGGGGCATGAGTTTTAATTTTCGTACGTAGCATAAAATGAGTTGCAAATGTACAATTGTCTATGAACTTTAAGTTTATTTTCTATGAGTGGACAACTCAACAAAATAATTATTTGATTGATCGCATACAAAAATAAAGAAAAGATTTACCACAAGAGACTACTCCCAAAAATAAATTAATACAGTATGTTAATACCTTGCTACGACCACGATCTTATACCAAGTGCACATACACAAAACTTACTTACAACAATTGAAACTGAAAGACAAAAACATACCCGTTTTTGGCTATGACTCGCAAATCGTTCACCTGAATTTTTTTAAGAAACATATGTTAGAGCATGTGTAATGAGAATTTCTTAATAAAATTTCTCATATAAAAAAGAAATAATAAAATAATAAAAAATAATATTTAATTGTAAGAATTTCTCAAGAAAGTAGAGAAAGTCTCTCAAGTGAGAGACTCTCACCACTCTTTTTTAGAGACTTCATCATTAAATAATACTTTTTATTATTTTATTATTTCTTTTTTACATAAAAGACTTGAGTGAGAGACTTCTATTATACATGTTTTTAATATGCTACGGCCAAACTAACTACAAGAAAACAATATACTTAACAAGACGATTATAAATCTTATAAAATCAAGATGATTATAAATTTGTTTGACAAATAAACTTTCTACTTGGCATATATAAAAATTATTTCAAAATTTCTTAACAAATGGTTATTTTTTCAAAAATTATAAATAATTAACTAAAAAAAAAGACGAAATGATAATTGTTTGACCAAAAAATAAAGATAAAAATAATAAACGAAAAATAAAAATAATTGGCCTTACCTCAGCTTTTCTTCTTTGTTTGAAACTCTGTTTTTGACTCTTTTACTCTCTCTCACAACACCCATCGCTAGGCTTGGGCACGAAGCGGATATCCGGAAAATTTAGGATATTCGTTATTCGATTCGATTTAACCGAATACTTGATTTTGTGATTTGCTTTGATCCGAAAATTTCCGGATATTCAGAATATCAAATATCTGGATTTTTTTGTGATATTTGCGGATATCCACTTCGATACTTCTGCACTTATTAAAACCCTAAAAAGCTAAGCGCTCTCGTGTAAAACTACGAAGAAAAATGTAAAATTTGGAAAAAGAAGTCATCACAGGATTCCAACTTCATATTTTTAAGGGATATTGATTTTTTTAATAATAAATTCCACTTCACTAATAAAACTATTAAATTGTGTCACAAATACGAAGGATAAAAAACTGAATTTACAAATACAAGCCAAAAATATATTACGATATACATATATATATATTTCTAATATATATAGAAAAATACGGATCGAAGCGGATATCCGACTTTTAAAAAAACAATATTTGTTATTTGCTTCGGTTTTTACGAATACTACATTTTCCTATTTGATGTGCTCCAAAATATTATGGATATTCGGATTTTTTGAATCGAATCAAAACGAATACCGAGTCGAAGCGGATCTAAGGAATATTTTGCCAAGGCCTATGGCCACCGCTTTGTCGAATAAAAGGCGTCTGCTTTTTACGTTTTCTACTTCACAGCAATGGCGGATTGGGCTCCAGTTCTCGTCGGAGTTGTATTATTCGTTCTCCTTTCTCCAGGTCTCCTTTTCTCGTTGCCCGGACATCACCACACTCTCCAATTCGGCGGCATGAAAACCAACGGCAAAGCTATCGCCGTTCACACACTCATCTTCTTCGCTGCTTACACGATCTTGATCCTCGCTGTCAATCTCCACATCACAACCGGCTAATTTATGGGGCGAAGTAAAGGTAACCCTTTTGCTGAATCTGCTGAGTTCTTCAGGAATCTTCTGAGATCTGGAACTCTGTTTTTAGGGATTTGTATACTTTACTCTGTTCTCTAGTTTGTGTTGTGCATTGAGTTTTTACTGAAAATGTAATAATTATTAAGCTTGTATTGTTGTGATTAAGTTATAATGCAAAATTTGATGTTTGCTTCCATCTCTGCTATTGAATTGTGGAATACAAAATTACAGATTTTTATTTGTCTATACAATACTTACCTTTAAACCATATTAGCAAAGAATCAGAGATTTGTGAAAAATTGTGAAAAAGAGAGAAATTTGTAGCAAAAAGAAGATGCTTTATGATGCATTGTTACATGTTGAAGCCACGAGAGAGATCAGGATATTGTTATCTCTTTGGAGCTACTTAGAGAGTTTTTAGAAATTGAATTGTTGAAAACAAAATTACCGATTATTTATTTGTATACAACCTTTTTTAATCACCCCTGCTTGAGACCCTATGAGCCCAGAATCAGAGATTAGCAACACAAAGAAAAGAAAAAATAGATTATGGCGAACTTTGAATCAAAAGAAGCTGCCTTTGTTACACTACAAGATCAGAAATGGATGTGAATTTGTATGGCAATGATCAAGATAGTGAGTATACAGAAGTAAATAATGGCGTGGACCAAAATCGAAATCCCGCTTGTGCTCATGTTCCCAAACTCCATCACTCTTGTCCTTGCCGGTAGCTGAAAGAGCAATCCTGGTGAGAGTAGGATGAACAGAGCCACTGCTACAATCACGGGTCCCCAATCTGCACTCATATCTCAACAAAATCTGTAATCTGAAATGTGTTTTTGTTTGTGTGTAACAGGTTCTTGTTTTTTCCTTTGCAGATGAAAATGAAAGATAAAAGTGAGAATGGAGAAGTTTGTTAGTGTTTTATGTAGAGTTATGGGTTTCTTGGTGGCTAAGGAGAGGAATTGGTTTAGATGCTAAGCTTTGTGAAGACTACAAAAGAAAGGTATTATATTCTTGAAGTGGGATTTGCTTTTTTTTTGGTCTATAAACTTTCTTTATTCTTAATTCTTCAATCAATTGCTTCTTTAAAGTTTCTGTTTTCTATTTTCTACAACTGCTTTACAGATCGTTATCGGTATGTGTTTTCTGCTTTTGTTAAAGAATTGCTTAAAAGTAGACGACTGTGGAAAAAGATGATATTACCAGTTGTTGTTTCTTTGTTAGGGTCTACTTTGATAGTTTTCTTCATAGGTTTGGATTTAGCCTTTTCTTGGTCAGTTTCGCGTAAACTGTTGGACACGTGAAAGTCGGTGTTCTGTTTTCTTCTGATGTAAACAAACTGATCGGGACTGAATTCGGTAATTTGGTATTAAATTTTGTGTATAGGTATTATGAACACTGAACACTTTGTTGTAATGCATAGCTAAAGAGAGGGAATGCAAATAAAAGATGATCATCACTTCACTTTCTTCTTTATTATAAGTTTGTGTGTTTGGATCTATGTTTCAACTCTCTAGCCCTATCCAAAGTTTATTTCTTTTTCCTCGTTTTACTTGCTGGTGTTGAAAATCAAGAACCAGAGAGGGACCGTATAGTTCAAATGTGATGTGTTCATGTTCTGTAGTGGTAGTGGTTTCTTGACTTAAACGCTCTGCATCAGTGTGAATCTTGATTAACTTCTCTATTTCCATGGTCGGCGTCAGATAACGAGACCTTGTTGTCTCGGTTTTTGTTCGCAAGATTCAAGGTTACTTCAACTTCATTGATCTTTGGTTTTCCTTTACTCGTCGGGTTTGACAACAGCAGTGACTACAGAAATTGGTCATCATTGTTGTGGTGCATTAGATGATAAACATTATACACTGGTTGAAGAAACTAATGTTTTTCATATTGGGACGATTCGTGTTAAAGAGGAAGAGCAGAGGATAAAAATGGGCCAAATTTGCAATTTAGGCCCAGTTCGTAAAATAAGCAGTATATATTTAGGCCCAGTTTGTAAATAAGTGTATTTGTCAATTTTTACAAATAGATTTAGCAAAGAAGATTCAATTGAGGTGACCAAGCTAATTTTCCACACCTATGAAATTTACTGTCTCAGTCAAAAGCTGGGCTAGCTCAACAAATTATTGGACCATGTGCTATGCTGCAATTTTTTTTATGTAATTGTCTAAATATTTAACATTTTAAAAACTAGACCCTTAATTGCAATTATTTGAAAAATTTGGATCTTAAAATACAAAAAAACAAAAAAAAAGTGGGACCCGGTGCACTAGCACCCAGCACACCACAAGAGACTCAAAAGTGACTTACATGCTTCGAATTGAAAAGTATTGTGTTTTGAAGTTTTGACTAGCCAACCAAAATTTCTCATAAATTTCATGGCTTATATTAAAAACAAACTATCACCAAACTATAAACTAACCATTAATTATTTGTCTTGTGCTAAATTATGAAGAACACTTGGTTATTGATTTGAAATACAAATTGATGAATCCTTTGATATCATATAGGCATATACTATTTATTGAAGTTTACTCTAAAACTCGAAGAACCAAGTACCAAGGGTATATAACGCAGAAAAAGTATATAGTATACCATTTTATTGGTCTAATTGATCTAGTAGCTATAGTTACATTTTACTACTAGAAATAGAATTTGATTCACCTTATGCGCATTAAAATATAACTTAACATGAGTACTAAAATACTGTTAAAACTACTAATCAATAGTAAACTAAAATATATATTCATACTTTGCCTATATAAAATTTAGTTTAATATGTTATTTAATAAATATTCTTATCTTTTATCAATTTCTTGTATGTTAGAGTGACCATTATTTTACCATCAACTAATAAATTTTTGGTCTTCTATTATCTTAGTATTCAAATTTTATTTTACATAAATTAAAGTACTCATTTTATATTGATGATCAAACCTAATTATTTACTTCTGAATTTTATATAGCTCCTTTAGAAGTATTAAAGCTGTCTTTGTCAATTTCATACTTTTATCAACAAGAAATAATCCCATGATTTCGATTCAAAGTCGTACGTTGGAAAATTATGCATTAGAAAAAACAAACTTGACAAGAAGATTTTTTCTAAAAAAACAAAAACTGTTAATATAAAAACGTGTGTGTATATATATATATATATATATATATATATTAACCCAAAGCTCTATATTAGAAAACAAATCATTAAACATTAGACATGGAAAACTCTCAATTAGTTTCGATCACTTTCTTAGCTTACACAATAATCATATCAGTCGGCTCCATCAACTGCATAGACAACAACAATCTGGTAACAAACCAATCCGCTTTGTTCGTGTTTGGAGATTCTGTGTTCGATGCTGGAAACAACAACTACATCGATACTTTCTCTAGTGTCCGGTCTAATTACTGGCCGTATGGTCAAACAACATTCAAATCCCCTACTGGAAGAGTCTCCGACGGACGTTTGATTCCTGATTTCATCGGTACCAAAACTACTCTTTCGTTATTTTATTTCCCGGTAAGTTTTTTTTTAACTGATCGCTAACGTGGCAGCGGAGTACGCATGGTTACCGTTGATCCCGCCAAATTTACAACCATTCAACGGTAACAACCAATTTACCTATGGGGTAAATTTTGCTTCAGGTGGCGCCGGAGCTTTGGTCGGAACCTTTTCCGGATTGGTATTCATTAGTTATTTACTTAACATTTGTTTGATTTTTTTTTTGTTGAATCGATGGTAATTGTTTGTCTTGTCTACTTTTTTTTTTTTTTCAAAAAACATTTTCACCACTCAAGGTGATAAATTTGAGAACACAATTAAACAACTTCAAGAAGGTTGAAAAAATGTTGAGGTCTAAGTTAGGAGATGCTGAGGGGAAGAGGGTTATCTCAAGAGCTGTTTATCTATTTCATATTGGACTCAACGATTATCAGTATCCGTTCACTACAAAGTCTTCCATTTTTCAATCCATTTCCAACGAGAAATACGTCGATTATGTTGTTGGTAACATGACAGACGTTTTCAAGGTAAATTTAGATCGAAATTGAAGGTTTTTGTAGGGTTTCTAATTCTATTGTCTGAAATATGAGATATGATGTTGTGTTCGTAGGAAGTGTATAATCTTGAGGAAGGAAGTTTGGATTCTTGAACACGGGACCATACGATTGTGCACCAGCCTCATTGGTTATAGACCAAACAAAGATAGGATCTTGTTTTCAGCCGGTCACTAAGCTGATCAATCTGCACAACAAGAAGCTTCTGAATGGTTTGAGGCGGCTAAATCATGAACTATCCGGATTCAAATACGCCCTCCACGACTATCACACTTCCCTCTCGGAAAGAATGAATAATCCTTCAAAATACGGTAACAAAATTCCTTTAATAATTGCAATATATATATAACATATTCTTTAGTATAAACTTTTAGATCGTTTTGAAGGGTTCAAGGAGGGGAAGAAGGCATGTTGTGGAAGCGGACCATTGAGAGGAATCAATACGTGTGGAGGCCGAATGGGACTGTCGCAAAATTACGAGTTATGTGAAAACGTTACAGACTATTTGTTCTATGATCCTTTTCATTTGACGGAAAAAGCTAATCAACAGATCGCTGAGCTGATTTGGAGCGGACCGACCAACATCACTGGACCCTATAATCTCAAAGCGCTGTTTGAACTTAACTAAAGCTCAATATATATCTCGTTTCATCTTGCCTGGTTTTCATTCTTTTGTGTGTATTTAAATTGTCACAAGAATCTTGCAGTTTTCTTAAATATTTTCCTTGTCAAGTGAGGGGAAGTTATTTGTATTTATAGTTTTACAAAGACAAAAATTACTCTTTGGTAATTGTTCCTAGAAATTGTCACAAGATTTTTTATAGTTTTATTTACTCTTTGGTAATTTATAAAAATTAGTTATTCGTATCTTAAGTTTTATATTTGATTTCTAGGATCAATAAGAATTAGTTATTCGTAAATATATATTCTCAGTTTCTCCAAGGGAATGGTAAAAAAATAAAAATAGAGAGAGAGAAATAACCTTGGCATATATCAGGTAGGCAAAAATGAGAGGTTCCGGCTTCAGACGATCTTGAATTGACTACAAAACGTGAATGCAGTCTGTTTTCTTGAACCCATAATACATTCCTATAAATTAGTTGTTGATTAAAAAATGTAGTCATCTTTGCCTTTAATTGGTTAGAAATATATTAATTACTCAGCTTTAATTTGTTGTGGATATATTAATTATGTAGTTTTCTGCTTTCGATCATTTCAAAAACTTTTATCGCTTCCGCTTCTTTTTTTGTATGACTTTGGCATTAACTAGAACTGCATTCACGTCTCTACAATCTCAAAGTTTCCAGTAATAAGAATAAGAATAAGTATTACATACCTCACAGTGTGGCATGATTTCAGATTGCAGATAAACACCAGCTGAAATACAGTAGATGTACCTATAACATTAACGAAAGATTACAATTTTGACTGTTTCATGAGAGCTATCAACTAAATGTACAAGCTAGGCCTAAGTAGATGTTCTGTAAAAGTTATGGTCTCAACTTCTTCCGCCTTTCTCCTTGAGAAAAAAATAAGAGAAGATGTCAAAGGTAAAAGACAGAGTAAAGAGACTATTTGTTACCTTTGATATCATAAACAACGTTGGAGCCTTCTGCTGAAAGACTTGACTTCACAAAGTCATACTCCTTTCTGTCTCCTTACTGAAGAATCTAGAAAAGACAAAAAATCATTCATTTTTATTGGAATCTTAATTGATCATCAAGTTACTCTTGCTCATATATATATTATGTTTTCCTTGGATAACGAAACCATATATATTATGGTGTGCGCATACTACTTCTTTCACAAGGAATCGTATGTTACCTTGTAAGAAAAATGAGCAAAGTCTCTTTCTTGGTCAGATCCACAAATAAATTGTTTTAAGATCCTCTTCTGCTTTCGTCTGGCTCATGAGCTTCCTCTACCATCATCCTTAGTACTTCTAATACATACTTCAAAGAGGGGCAGAACTTTGAACTTTCTCTACCACCTACATAAAATGTCACAAGGTTCTCTTTTCTCATGGCAAGAAAATCAATGAGCCTGTCGCCAAGGGTGGTCCGAAGAGAAGAAATTTGAAAGATAGGTAGTCGCCTCAAGAACTCACCGGTCTGAGAGTTTTTGGATATAATCTCAAATTCAATATACTTTGATTATAGCTAATAAAGAACTTTATAAAACCGCTTTAAAAAACTTGAAACTCGAAACAAAGAACGCAAGAAAGGAAAACGGATTATGAACAATATACGAGTGTTTGCCATGTTCCTGAGATCTTTAGGTAGTCGTGTCGCCGGGACTGTAAAGTACTCTTGCCATTGAACAATGGGAGTTTAGGGCTATCAAGGCGACACAATCTGTCTTAAACAACCTAGAAGATATGTCTCAAAGTCAAATTTTGTAATCGAAAAGTTTGATCAAAATTAGAAAAACAAATATTGCCGGCAATTATCTTTGGAAGCTCCCTTTCTTACAGCAGAAGGATCATCGAGATCAAGCTTGGCTTAAGTTCACCAGCCTGTCAAGAAATGATGGGTTAATCAATCTCTACATGGAAACCAATTTTAATTAGCAACAGAGCGATGTCACCTGCATGGCTTGTCCTTCAGAAGTTTTTAAATGGATAAATCTTGACGCAGGTGAAAGAAGAGGTATGCACATCTTCATCAACACTGCTGTTGTATGTATAGTAACCAAGTTCTTCCGTCAAAGAGACGAAAGGTTCCTGCCGCTCTGTCCTCCGCATATATCGCATGACATTTACCATCCAACTGAAATTACAGTAAAAACCAACCAAGGAGGTAAGATCTTCTGAAACCACCTAACTTTGGTGACACACATGTATCTTTTGGTTTTGTAGTATGGAACAAAAGCAGAGAACTTTCATGCATCAACAAACCTTCATCACGTAGAGTGTGCACCTATATCTCTAGTGCTTTGACACTTGAGAACGCACAAGAGATATATGCTGCAATATAAGTGAGAGAAAAAGTAAAGCTATAAGATCAATATGAGAAATACAAAAGAGAGCGATGGTATTAGAGTACCTTTGGAGGAATTTTCCCCTTCTCAAGATATAAGGTAATCCAAAACCACAGAAACACTGGTCATGGATGCTCTTTAAGGAAATAGAATATCTCGTCACAGGATAGGAAACTTTTCAAGACAAATAGATATCTAAGAATGAGGGTCTTACATAGAGTGCTCCAGCGACAATTGCAGTATACCATGAAGGCATCTATGCTCTGGCCTGCATAGCAATCCTACTTGATGCAAATTCTATACTGAAATCTGAAAGCAGGGAGGCATTTCTCTTCATAATTGTATTCAGTGGATTTTGGAGATATACTAGAGCAGTGAGCTGATTAGTGGTGTTGTATTATCAGAGTCCCATGTAATGGGCACTCGTAGCTTAGGGTATTGATGTTCTAGCAAAACATGGACAAAGACGAACTAATAATTGGTAGTGACAGGATATCGATGCTTTCTATAAAACTAATGAGTGAATTAATATAACAGACATTGAACTCTACTGATTATGTTGATGGCGTCTCTTTATCTGGTTGTTTTTCTCCTCCAACCATTTTTTAAAGATCCCCAATCTCGGTACGAGCTTGCTCTAATTGACGTACTAGTTGAACGATCTCTTTCTTTAGCTCTAAGATCATAACTCAAACCTCCACCATCCCTTCAATAAGGAATCAATATACTGAAAACCAGATAATGTTTGACACATGGAAAAAGGATAAACTCCATCTGTAAGAAAATCAACATATATATGAGATCAAATAAAAATCTTGTGTTGAATCCATCTAAAATATATATTACTACTATGACACGTTCTGATCCATGATTGACATTCTTCAGTCTCGTCAATCACACGTTCTGATCCATGACCTTATCATGTACTTAAAAAAACTGTCAATGCTTGGAGAGTAGAGAAGAGATAATAACCCAAAAGATATTGATTTCATTCACCTCCACAGTTTATAGCATACCAAAAAAAAGCTATAGGCCTTTATATTTCTTTTACCTTATATACAGGCCACCAATTTTTTCCAGTGTAACTAAGACGTTTCCATGGTCAGCTCGTATTCGTGGCTGCATGAGGAAAAACATATAATTCACCCATAAGATAACTATTATAGAAAAGGAACATGGTAAAGGTATTTGTAATTACTGATATCTCCAAGCATACGCAATGTCCACAAGAAGTGATCCATTCGGACCCCAGGACTCATTGCTGGTAGCATCTAGAACCTGGACAAGATCCAGAAGAGTAGAAAAGAGAGACAAAAAGGTGAAAAGAAAATATGTAAAATCTCCTCTAAATTTCAGAGAAGGAGTGTTAACTCGCGTTATAGCATGTTCCAAATGTGGAAAGAGCTTTCCGTCTCAAATATTTCAAAAAATCATCAATCACCTAAAATGTAAAAGAAAGAGGCAGATTAAAACATGATCTTGTAGTTTGAAATTGGATAGAATAATTAAAAAGTTTGAAATTGGATAGAATAATTAAAAACCTAGCATAGTCTCACATTCTTTTGGACAAAAAAAAAAAAAATATCACATTCTAATGTAGGTCTTAGTGGAGATATACTAGAGCAGTGAACTTAGTTTTTGTTGTATTCTCAGAGTCCCCTGTACGGCACACCCTCATCTTGAGGTATTGATGTTCCATCGGAACCTGGACAAAGACATACTAATATTTGGTAGTCACATAACATCTACGCTTTATGTATAACTAACAAGTGAATATAACAGACATTGAACTCTATGCGAATGTTGATAGTGTCTCTTTTTCTGGTTGTTTTCTTCTCCAACCATTCGCCAAAGATTCTCAATCTCGGTGCGAGCTTGCTCTACTTGTCGTGTAGTTGGAGTACCTCTTTCTTTAGCTGTAAGAAATGAGATAGATCATAACTCAAACCTCCAAAAAACAATAGATCAATTAGATTGTGAACAAGACAAAAAAATGCAGGGAGAAATTATGTGTAACTGCAGTACCAAAGAAGATGATGGTCATAATAGTGAGTTCATGGTACAACCTATTTCCTAAGATCTTAACATGGTGATTGGATTATATCGAGCTACCTAACAACCTTGAGGTCCTTCCAGTTGTGCCAGAAATGACCAAAGCCTAACCAGCACTTCTCAACTCACTTTCCAGTATGGCCAACTCCCTCTGCAAAGAATGTTACATACAGAGACAAAATCGATTAAATCTAACAAGGAAAACTCTATCACATCCATTAAATCTAACAAGAAAAGTCTATCTTATCCATAAATGTAACAAGATAAAGTCTATATCATCCACATATGTATATCTTAAGCACAAACATTCAACATCATCAATCAATCTTATGACTAACCTATACCTCCACATGCCCACAAAGATCTCAGTCCGTCTGACTAGTAGAAACTAAAACCTGATGAGAGAAAAACAAACCTTAAGAACTCGACGTGGGCACCATCAAGCTGCATGGTTCACTTACCAACCCAAATCATATGAGAAGAACAATCGTTGTAGAGACCAGAGGTCGAGTCTAGCCGTGTTAATGATTGTTTGTAAGACAAACACTCATAAGGAATTCCAGAAATTTGTTGTTGGATAATGGGATGATCCAGCATTAGTCCAGCAACGTGCATGAAACCGAGTGCTTCATCAACACGGTGAGCTCGTTCACGGTACCTTCCAAAGTAATACAATGATTTCATAACATTAATACCCGAAATATAGAAATTTACTCAAGAAGAACAAACTGATTAGCTTCGAACAATTGCTAGGCATATCATCAGCTACTGAAAAGGGAAACTATTTTTGCATCCACTGTATAAAATTGGACCTAACTAGTTGATACCAATTTAAGGTAAGGTATTCAATACGGGATGCAGCCAGTAAAACACAGAGAAAAAGCGCACCTGAAACTAGGCATGGCTGATTGATCCTTTGAGTTTGCGTTTAAGGTACCATAACATGGAAACTCAAACACTTGGATCTTTCTCACTACTGTGAGATACGCTAATCAGGTGCTGAAGAATGGAAAAAAATCATAAACTGCATGTTTTGCATTAACTAGACACAAATAATCATTATCAAGCTTTGTGGCAAATAAGAGATCCAATTTTAACTTTTTGTTAGTTTTGTTACCTATTATCCTTGGTCACTTGGTTCAGTGTTTCAACTGAGTAACTCTCTGCATAATGGCTTAACCACCAAAGGCAGAGCTCTTATCATCCTCTGAAGATGATGATTTTGAATCCTGAGTTGACCTAAAACTCAATTCTCAGTAACGATGGGGAATTAGCCTCCGAATATATAGAGAAGAATCCTGAAGGTATAACGAGTATTGTTACCGTTGATCCAAGTTTCTCTGGCGAACACGATCGTGACTCTTCTTCCGCAAGATCTCGTCTTTTCTCCTTAAGAAAATCCTCCGTCTTCTCCTTCTCGTTCTTCATCTTCTTCAACATCGCCTCCTACTCCACTAGATCTTTCTCCAACGACTTCGTTTCTTTCCCTTTCGCCGAGATCGGCAACAACGGTGGCCGACGATCTAACTTTTCTGCTTCAACGCTTTTCTACTGCTTCTCAATTACTTCGCCAGAGATGGAGATGTTAAAATTTGGTAGAGCGTCTGAGATCCCAACGGTCAGAATTCAAAGTCCAAAACTGATACTTTTGTGAATTTAAAAGACTCTTGGTCTCCAAGGCTTACGCTGAGTTATATCACTCGTTTCAATTTCGAGTTTTTGACCGACCGTTTGAACTTTGAAGAGTGTTTCTTCTTCAATTAAACCAAAAACCAATTTCCAAATTGATTCTTTTGGTTCACATTAAACCGTGTCCATCAAAACTAAAACCGTTTGGTTTAACATTGGTTTGGTTAAACCAATTATACGTCTTAATCGATGACAAAGTTTCTAACCGCAAATCGCCCGTCAACTACCATTTCCTTGGCCAACAGTGTTCTTCTCTCACTGGAAAAAACCAGACTGACCATTTCCCATAAAAACTGATGTTAATTTTCCGGTGAAATCTGCCGGGAATTCTCAATTTTTTGGAAAAGAAGTAGCTTTTTGTTGTTATGGAGACAGAGATTCCAAGGTCAACGGAGATATCAGAGACATTGTTGTTACCTGCGACAAATCTCGATCCCGATGAAGATGTACCCGAGTGGAAGGACCAGATCACGATCCGAGGCTTAATCTCTAGCGCCTTGTTAGGGATTTTGTTCTGTATCATTACCCATAAGCTCAATCTAACAATCGGAATCATTCCTTCGCTAAACGTAGCTGCTGGTCTTCTCGGCTTCTTCTTCATCAAGTCGTGGACTGGGTTCTTGTCTAAATTAGGGTTTTCATCTAAACCCTTTACTAAGCAAGAGAACACTGTTATTCAGACTTGTGTTGTCTCCTGTTACGGCCTTGCTTATAGCGGTAAGAATCGTTACTTGCTTGCAAATACTAATCTTCTTGATTTGATTACGTTTAGTTTCCTGTGTTTTGATGATGAACAATGGGTTTGATTTTGAAGCTGTTTCTATATTCATTATGAGTCATTGTCACTCTGTTGATAGTTAGCGGCGTTTATGGTAAGTATATTAGAGATGTATAAAGGAGTTGAAACCTTGGTCATGCCTAAGTGCAGACGAGTGTGCAGAGGTCTTGTGTCCTAGCTTGTGAGATATTGGTTAAAGGAAATATCCGCAACTTTCCATTGGCCATGCACCTTAGTGTTAGCTGAGCATCACTCACCATTGCCTGTCAAATTCACATATAGTTTTTACAATGTTGTAATCACTAATCTAACTATGATTTGCATATTTAAAGACTCAGATTCTAGAATCGTTACTTGCTTAGAAATGAGTGAATAGTAATTTTGATTTCTGATATAGTTTCTTGAATTCTTGTTTTTTTCAGGAGGATTTGGTTCATATTTGATAGCTATGGATGATAGGACATATAAGCTCATTGGTTCTGATTATCCTGGAAACAATCCTGAAGATGTTATAAATCCTGGATTGTGGTGGATGACTGGGTTTTTATTTGTAGTTAGCTTCCTCGGTCTCTTCAGTCTCGTTCCACTTCGTAAGGTAGCATCTCACTACTGTAATCAAAAACTGTCTAAGAAACCAATAATCCAAGAGAACACTATTGTTTGATCTCTTGATCCCTTATTCAATAGTGTGTTTCAGGTGATGATTTTGGACTACAAGCTTACATATCCCAGTGGAACCGCTACAGCGATGTTGATTAACAGTTTCCACAACAACACTGGAGCTGAGCTTGCAGGGTAATTGTCAGAGATTCATCTTTTCAATCTCACCTCCCTGCAAACGATAGCTTGAGCTGAGTTTCATTAAATATTTATCTCCAATATTATTCACTTCAGAAACCAAGTTAAATGTCTTGGGAAATACCTGAGCCTTAGCTTATTTTGGAGTTGCTTCAAGTGGTTCTTCAGTGGTATTGGAGATGCATGTGGCTTTGATCACTTTCCCACACTTGGTTTGACGCTGTTCAAGAACACGTAAGTTTCTCTATTAAACAATTTAGTACAATTTAACAATAATCTATTGTAAATGAGAATGGTTTAGCATGTGGATCTAAGTGGTAACGAGTCATGGTTTTCTGCTGCGCAGGTTTTACTTTGATTTCAGTCCTACTTTTATTGGATGTGGTATGATATGTCCCCATTTGGTGAACTGTTCGGTTCTTCTCGGTGCTATCATTTCTTGGGGTTTCCTCTGGCCATCCATATCACAGCATGCTGGGGATTGGTATCCAGCTGACCTTGAGGCCAATGATTTCAAAGGTCTCTATGGATATAAGGTAAAATAAACATATCAAGTAGAACGAATTTAATGAAAGTTCTTATCTTCACATCAAAAGGGGAGAACACAGATTAGTTTCATAGGTCCTCTATTTGCAGTGGTTACTGATCCTTTTCATATCATTACCTATAGGTCTTTATCGCCATTGCTATCATCCTTGGTGACGGTCTTTACAACCTCATTAAGATCATTATTGTCACTGTGAAGGAAATCTGCAACAAAAGCTCCAAACAACAACACCTACCTGTCTTTACCGACATTTTAGGTGCGAAAAATATATATGATTCTGTTTCATCCATCGCATTATTTGTTAGTTATAGTCAGAGTTATTAATAAGGTGTCTCTCATGAATCATGACCATACTGAAAACGTCTGTCCCAAATATATTCTTAAGAGTTTCTTTCTGCATTCTTAATTCAGATAAAAGCAAGACCTCAGAATTAATGCGGGAGAAGAAGAAAAGAGATGACATATTTCTCAAGGACCGTATACCCCTCGAGTTTGCGGTTTCTGGTTATGTGGGTCTTGCAGCCATTTCAACTGCTATAATCCCATTGATATTCCCACCATTGAAATGGTACTTTGTCCTCTGTACATACTTAGTTGCCCCGGGTCTTGCTTTTTGCAATTCTTATGGAGCCGGGCTCACGGATATGAGCATGCCTTCAACCTACGGAAAGACTGGTCTTTTCATCGTTGCTTCAATTGTAGGAAATAACGGTGGAGTCATTGCCGGTTTAGCAGCCTGTGGCATTATGATGTCAATCGTCTCAACTGCAGCAGATCTCATGCAGGACTTTAAAACAGGTTACCTCACACTATCATCTGCAAAATCCATGTTTGTAACTCAGCTTTTGGGTACAGCAATGGGTTGCATAATCGCTCCTCTCACGTTCTGGCTGTTTTGGACTGCTTTTGACATTGGAGATCCTGATGGTCTATACAAAGCACCTTACGCAGTTATCTACCGCGAAATGGCTATCCTCGGGATCGAGGGCTTTACAAAATTGCCCAAGCACTGTTTGGCTCTATGTTGCGGATTCTTCATCGCTTCTCTGATTGTAAATCTAATTAGAGAAATCACACCACCAAAGATCTCTAAGTTGATACCACTTCCAATGGCTATGGCTGGTCCATTCTACATAGGAGCATACTTCACCATCGACATGTTCATAGGAACCGTGATTATGTTCGTATGGGAACGGATGAATAAGAAAGACGCAGATGATTACTCGGGTGCAGTAGCTTCAGGACTGATCTGCGGCGATGGAATCTGGACCATCCCATCCGCAGTTCTTTCAATATTAAGAATCAATCCACCCATCTGTATGTACTTTGGACCATCCTAGACATTGTTATCATATTAAAAGTTTGTTGCATTATAGCCAAAAAATAGAGTTTTTCCATCTTTTAAGTAGAACACAGAAATGTACCACCAATAAACATCTTCATGTACTGTATGTGGCATAAAGTAAAACAGTCATATTGACTTACGAAACTTTAAATGGGCTTCTTGTGTAAGCCCATATACTTTTGTTAAGAAGCCCATACGAATCTCCTTCCTCGTCTTTTCCACCACAATCAAATCATATATATATATATATATATATATATGATTCCTCTAATTCCTCAGAAACCCTAAATCCCAATTGAGAAAATTTTGTCTAAATTTTTAGACGCAAATTCAGTTTCTGTGAACTCTTTCTTTGTTGAATCATGGAACCAGCACAGCCCGAACCCGTTACTTACGTCTGCGGAGGTAAGCTCGATTCGAAAGATTTCATCGAACATCTAATTTTACTCTTAGTCTCTGTAAAAGATTGTAGCTTTGTGATGTTGAATGCTAAATTTGCCTCTTTTGAGTAGCCTTATGAATCCTAATCTATTAGGAAATTTCATAATCAGGCTTAGTTAGGAGGCGTAAATCAATCTTGATCATCAATACTTGTCTGTATTGTTTTAATCTATTTGACTTGAGGTCTTTTTGAGGAGAAGCTTTGCTTCTGCTTAGAATCAATCTTCTCCCAAGCAGCCTCAGACATATACACTTTAAATCAAAATTCGTAGGAAGATTTCTGATGTTTTTGTAAGTAAAAAGGTTATCTTTGTTTTATGGGTTTGCTTAATTTCTTCTATGTGTCAGATTGTGGACAAGAGAACACTTTGAAGCCTGGGGATGTGATCCAATGCAGAGAGTGTGGGTACCGTATTCTCTACAAGAAGCGTACCCGTAGAGGTGAATAATTCTTAATTCTCCTTTTGTTTTGTAATAGCTTCTTTGATTCATCTTTTTTTTGGTCTTGTTCTTAAATGTGTCTCATAAAAGCAAATGTTATTAGGATTAGATTTTCGAATTTATCTTGAGTTTTGCACCTTTGTAACTACGTTCCGGTGTACCCCTTTTTGTGTTTGGATTGTTAATCTGTTGGTTTTATTGTACAAATGTAGATGTTGTTAACTTGTTTCCGGCTAATTTATATGGTCGTTTATTCTCTTGCAGTTGTTCAATACGAAGCTCGCTGAGAACCGTAGTGGTTGTTAATCCTGAAGATGTTTCATAGTCTGTTAAGATGGGTTGAGACGTTTTGGCACTGTTGGGGATGTATATCGACATGCTTTTTGCTAAATTGCCAGTTCGATTTGATTTGGGGATTTGATCCCAGTGTGACTCTGTAATCACTTGGAATAACTAAATTCACATTGCTAGAATCCTTGATTGCTATAATCTCCTCTAAATTACTCATCCTCATTCTCCATTTCGACAGGCTAAACATCTCTAAGTTGTGTTGCTACCTTTGTTCTTTAGTGTTCTCTGCTTCTGGTGGTGGAAAAGGTAGTGTATCAATCTTGTTTGCTACAAATTTTCTAAGTGTTAGGAAGAAATCAAAGAGAGTGACATGAAGAGAAACCACCACAATGTTACTGACAAAATGCTTCGCTAAAAGCAAACAGATGAATGAATTAGTGTTAATATCTAATGAAACCTTTGATAAGTGCTATGGCTACAAGTAGAAGAGTTGAAATAAGAGAGTACTCGTGGCAAATACTATTAGCATTCATCAAATACAAGCTATGAGTTTTCAATCTCGTGAAACATTTATCTCGAATACCAAATGCTATTGGCATTTAACAAAAGCTCCAAACAAAAACCAACTACCTTTCTTTACCGACATCGATCCCGTCTCATCTACAGCATTGAAGTAATAGTCTGGGTTATCATATCAATAAGTTGTTTCTCTGATGACCATACTGAAATCAAATACATTCTCAGAGTTTCTATCTGCGAACATAGAAAGTACCAATACATTTTAACAAACAAAAAAAAAGTAACAGAAAACATCTAATGTATGGTTCCAAACTTAATCTTCAGGATCATAGGGTCTGTTGTCAAAATCCTCTCTGTCCTCAGCTATGTCAGGGCAATATCTTTCAGACAAAATCTCAACTTGTTCTGCAAATGTTTTGGATTTCGGTACGCCGATATGAATGATCATCTGGTTCCACCGTTTTCTACAAGCTTCTCCATCTCGATTTTCCAAAAGATTATCCCAATCCACATCGTCGATACAAGCAGCATCCAGTTTCAAAAGCTCTTCCAAGAGTCTATAGTCATCTACGTTAGCCCACATTCCCTTTGCTACCATTGGTGACATCAACTGCTCATACCATTTACTGCAGCAAGTGACGTGGTCCCGTGTTCCAAGTACGTCGCTTATCGCCATCCAAGGGATGTTATCTTTGAGCATACCATGTTTTGAGTGCTTCTCTTGGAATGCTTTCATTCTAAGGTCTTTGTTAACAAGGTCAAAGAGTTTTTGATACTCCTCCCTCATCCAATGTCCTTTCTTCTTCTCTGCCAATCTTCCTCTCCTCCAAGCGTCTTTCACATGCTTCCTATGTTTACCCATTGCATCTGCAAGTGTTCTCCAATCATTCCCGTGTTTCTTTTGAAACTCCATAACGAGTTCAATATCCTCTTTCGCCCACGTCCCCTTGGATCCTGCTTCAAATATAGTATGTGCACGATTATACACACTATTATTTGCCCTCCAAGGTAAAGCAGATGCAATTTCTTTCCAACAGCCTTTAAGTTGTGGGTGTGACTTGCAATCCATAACCATCTTTATCCCCTCCTCTCCTAAAGCATGGTTATCAATGTATTCTAATACAGCATTCTTTACCAACTCATCTTCTTCTTTTGTATACCGTTTACCCCTCACCACCGTAACTTCTTCTTCATCATCTTCCGTTTCTTCATCTTCACTAGGAAAAAATTCCACTTCGGCAGAAAATTTCACCCTTTTTGTGCTTTTACTTGATGGGGTGGTCACATCTTTATCACTCTGAACAGACTCTTGCTTCTTCTTCCTTTTCTTCTTTGCATCTTTTGTAGAGCTCAAGTCGATTTCCTCAGCCTCTGAATCCACACTTTGTTTATTCTCTGCCTCTTTCACAGAGTCCTTGTTGTTTTCCTCAACCTCTGAATCCTCAACTTGAACTCCATCCTCTGTAGAGTTCAAGTTGTTATCTTCAAACTCTGAATCCACACTTTGTTTCTTCTTCTTGCTCTTCTTTCTCTTAACCTCCTTGTCTGTGTTTTCTTCAGCTCCCAAATCACAATCATCCCGCTTTCTCTTTCCCTTTCTCTTATCAGCATCATCAATATGCACGAATGGTGTCTCACAAACTTTGGAGCTTTCACTATTCCCTATCACATCACTCCCAGATTCTTTCTTGCTCTTCTTCTTCTTCTTCTTCTTTTTCACACCATCCTCAGCTTCAGAATCAACCTTTGTCTCCTTAATTTTCTTCTTCAGAGCATCATCAGCTTCAGAAACAACCATTTGGTCCTTGGATTTCTTCTTAACAACATCCTCACCCAATTTCTCACTTCCACGCCCAGCAATCTCCTCATCTTCTCCAGCAAAACCATCCTTACTCTCTCGGTTTTTCTTCTTCTTCTCCTTCTTCTTCATAGAAGTGTGCTTGGAAACGATTTCTTCAACGATTTCCCCAGAATCGACCCTAGTGTCACTCTTTTTCTTCTTCTTCTCTTCAGCCATCTCAGATCTAGGTTACGAAACCCTAATCAGAAAAATCGCCCCTACGTTCGCGCAAATTCGATTGATTGATTTTAAACTGAAATTTTCAGACTTTGGCGATGCTGATTTTGTTTGTGAAAGGGCCTTTTTGATATGGCGGCTTCATGAATCATGAAGAGAGATTTCAGATTAGGGTATTAATTTAACTATTTTTTCTTATAAAAAACAATTCTATTTTACATTTGACCCACTCTCTATTTTTAGGGCCCAAGTATCACCAGGCCCAACAAGCTCTCTTTCTTTAAGCATTTTAGATCTCAAATAATTACGATTAATTATATGAGAAGGTATGGAAGAGAACCTCGAAAAAGTAATGAAAATGTAGCATCAAATTTTCTTGGATTAAACTTCAATGTCATGTGTGGTGGAGTTTGGATCTTACATGATCATTTGGGATAAGCTAGTTTTCATGCAAGGGATTGATCAATTGAAGGATCCGTATGAGAGAGCTCAACCGGTCAAGTTCTAGCTATCCAAAGTTCCAAATTCAAACATTGGTCACACAGGTAACAAAGAGTACATTTCTAGTATTCTCTAGTCTTCTGTCCGAAGAGATTATTTATGAAGTTCGGCTCGAAACTTTTTGATTAACAATAAAAAAAAAGATTGAAGGACCTACATGTAGAAGATGCAGATGACATCTTAGCTTGGGAAAATGGCTTCATTATCGAGAAACTAGACGTCTCAATCTAAATGAAAACGGTTTAGGTTTACAACCGATAATTATAGACTTACAAAAATGGTCATATGACAAAAAAAAACATATAAACATAATTTATAATTAGAATTCGGTCAATCTACTCGACCAAAACGGTGAAAGTATGAGAGTTAGATGAAGTGATGATGATTTCGGTTGTTCTTCCTGAATTTGTTGTCGAAAATGAAGGGCAACTGCAAGGAGGTAGAAGCCGAACTGCGAAAGACTCCTAACAACCGAGTTTAAGAATATTTTGATTGATCGGAATTCATCTGATTTAAGAATATTTAGTGATTATATAAATTCTAAATTATCTAAAAGGAAATAAATTTTTTTTTTTTTTTTGATTGAGCTTTTGGATTGGATTCGACGGTTTAAGATATTTTTTTTTTTTGAAATTAATAAAATCTTGTTACTACTTAGGTCAAAAGGTCACTCACCCCACCTTGAATCTGAGAGAGAGTAAAGTCAGAGAAAAAAGTTTGGTAACTTTTACTTCCGACCTGAAAGTCCCCACTCCCCACACCTTGACATGGTCATGGATCCCAAGAAGAATCCAACTCTACCAAGTTTCTTAAACCCATCACCACAAAATCTGGACAACGACAAGAAGAGGAAACAAACAGAGGTTAAAGGTTTCGACATTGTGGTCAGGGAGAAAGAAGAGGAAGAACAGATTCAGCTTCTTGATGAGAAGAAGAAGAAACCAAACAGAGATCGACACCGTAAAGTCGAAGGAAGAGGTCGAAGAGTTAGGTTACCTCCACTTTGTGCAGCGAGGATTTATCAATTGACTAAAGAATTAGGTCACAAATCAGATGGTGAGACTCTTGAATGGTTACTTCAACAAGCTGAGCCATCTATAATCTCTGCTACTGGAAATGGAATCAAACCCATTGGAACCACCACCACTGATTCTGTTTCTCAACCTTCTCTCACGGCGGATTTGATGGTTAGGCATAACTTTGAAGGAGCTTCAAGGACTCAAATGGCGGCAAATGAAACAGAGCAAACCACTGGAGGGTTTGATTTGAATTACGGAATTGGGTTTGGTTTCAATGGTGTTTCAGAGATTGGTTTTGGAAATAATCAAACGCCTGGACTTGAATTAGGGTTGTCTCAAGTTGCGGTTTTGAATCCACAGGTTTATCAACAAATGGGTCAAGAACAGTCTAGGGTTCTTCATCATCATCATTCTTATGAAGATCAGCAACAGAGTGCAGAGAAAAATGGTTCTTAAAGCTCAAACCTTTAATGGCTTTTACTTATATTTTGCATATAGATATTTAGTGAGAATGTGATTGCTGAAATCTCAAAGTTGATAGCTTTTAAGGAAATGCGTTTTGTGGCACAATGTGCTTATTCATTGCTTATTTTACTTAGATCAGCAAGAGAACATTGGTTCTCAAAGGTCAAACCTTTAATGGCTTTTACTTAGATTGTGCAGATATATAGTGAGAGAATAAAATATGGTTTTGCTGAAATCTTAATGTGCTCATTCATAGTTTCTTTTGCTCAAACTCTCTTTGATCAATGGCTTTGATGTAATTAGGCTATATAGTTACTAAGTAAGTTATGCTATGTAAACTTCACTGAAATAAGGCTTTTATGTTATGCTCTGTAAACTGCACTGAAATAAGGCTTTTATGCATCATTAAGCACTCTGATGATTGAGTTTTGTTGTACAAAGGAATGTTTTTTTTTTGTTTGGTTAAAGATTCATCTTGTTTCAAAGATTTTGCCCAGAAGCTAAAGAGTCTGCAAAGTTAATCTCTTTTGGTCTCTGATGATGGCTAATGCCATACATTTTGGCTTTGCTTGCTGTCTTTGTTGATAGAATTTGGACTACGCGCGCTACGTTTCTTTGGGTGAAAAACAATCCGCATCATTCCACTGAGAACAGTGAAACAGTATGATGTTCTTATTGTATTGTGTCAACAGCCCATAATCAATGAAATGGGCCGCAATGAGTCAATGACAGTATAAGCGGAAAGAATTACGGATGCCATCGAGACTTAACTTTCCAAATGACTAACATTTGGTTAGGGCCTAAAAGCCAATATCCGTATTAAAACAAAACAAACAAAAGATAGATAACAAATGCAAAAATTTAGAATTTCTGGATAACAAAAAAAAATTTAGTAATACGTTGACTTCAATAAATATGAACATAGAAGAGAAGAGATAGAGATGCGTGTTAAATTGGCGGTGGGAGATATGTGATTCTCTTGGTCCCTCTTTCTCGTTTGATTCGGTAACCTAAACCTTCTCCATCCAAGAGGACACAAACAAGGAAGAAATTAACCTACCTACGTACATAATTTGAACTATTTGTCTATTAAAAATGGAAAATCTATTTTCCTCTTCTCTCTCTTATGACCGAAAAAAAGAAAAAGTCCTCAAAATAACTCTAAGATAATACATGTGGAAGTGGAACCTTCTATATATATTTTGCATGCTTTTTTGAATTTAAGTAATGGCATACTAATTAGAAAAAGTACAAGAGGAAGACAAAAAATGTCAATACTGTATGGTTTAGATGTTTGGGTTTTCTATGGTCCAAAGTTTTTCTGAGTAATTTAGTTTCGTGGTCTAGGCAAATCAAGATATAGTGCATTCGTAAAGTGTACAAATTATTATGTAAGAACCGTTATTTGGCATAACTTAATATATTAAAAATTGAAAAGTTTCTTAACCAATCATAATCTATTTTTGAAAAATGTGTAATTTTGTGTTGCGACTGAAATTTTCCTAGAGAAAGAGAATATGCATGATATCATCTATTTGAATTTGAGAAAATAAAAACATAACAGGAGAAAATCGTAAAGAGTAATATAAATGACAAAGAGAAAGAAATCTAAGAAGTCATCCAAAATTGGGAGGCCTACTCTCAACTACCAAAAAAACACATAAGTGTTTGTTGTGTTAGGTCATTTATTCAGTCACCTAACCCTAACTAAATGAAATACGTTAAAATTCATATCTATAAAATAAAGAAATAATATTAGTCAATATAATTTTTTTTTTTAAACAACATAAAAATAAAGAAAGAAATACTGACTACTGTTACTCTGTTAGTCAATATAACTTGTTTTTGTTTCAATGTTAAAAAAATCCATCTTTCAATCAAGACCGTCCAAGTATTCTCCTTTCACATAACTCTTACGTTTTACACTAAATAAACAAGACGAGATTTTTATGAGCTTGTGGCTCCCACAACAATCCTCATTGATTTCTCCATATATATCACATGAGAATCCAACTCGACTTCATAACATTCATCCCAAAAGTTCCATTCTTTTTCACCACAAAGCCATTGTGCTGTTTTCTCCATTTGGATCAAAATGGTTTGTGTTATTGTTCTTGTTTTTGTTTCACAAAGTGTTCAAAATTCTGTTTTATTAAGCTCACTCTTCTTTTGTTTTTCAGGTTGCTGAGAACAACAACAACAAAGAAGGTACACTCTCTGCATCAATGGACAACAACATGAAAGGAACTAACTTTCATCTTGAGGTTCATCAAAAGGAACCAGCTTTGGTCAAACCTGAATCCGAGACACGAAAGGGTCTTTACTTCTTGTCGAATCTTGATCAGAACATCGCCGTGATTGTTCGTACAATCTACTGTTTCAAATCTGAGGAGAGAGGGAACGAGGAAGCAGTCCAAGTGATCAAGAAAGCTCTGAGTCAAGTTCTTGTTCATTACTACCCTCTTGCTGGACGCCTCACCATCAGTCCTGAAGGTAACTGATTGAAATCGATTAATGATTAGTTCGGGTTTGGTCTCTGTCTTATTTATAGTCAGACAACAACAACATTTAATGTCTTTGATGGTGTGAATTCAGGTAAACTCACAGTTGACTGTACTGAAGAAGGAGTTGTGTTTGTGGAAGCAGAAGCAAACTGTAAAATGGATGAGATTGGTGACATTACCAAACCCGATCCCGAAACTCTAGGGAAACTTGTGTACGATGTTGTAGACGCCAAGAATATTCTTGAGATCCCTCCTGTTACCGCTCAGGTCAACTTTTCTTCCTCCTCAAGCAATCTTTTTTTTTCTTAGGGTTGTAAGTTTTTTGAAGTTGAAGTCTGATTTGTTAGGGTTTTAAATTGATTTGAGTTAACAGGTGACTAAATTCAAATGTGGAGGGTTTGTTCTCGGACTCTGTATGAATCACTGTATGTTTGATGGAATTGGAGCTATGGAGTTTGTTAACTCATGGGGTCAAGTCGCTAGAGGCTTACCATTAACAACTCCTCCATTTTCAGACCGAACCATTCTCAGTGCTCGAAACCCTCCAAAGATCGAGAATCTCCACCAAGAATTCGAAGAGATCGAAGATAAATCCAACATCAACTCTCTCTATACCAAAGAGCCAACTCTCTACAGATCCTTCTGCTTTGACCCAGAGAAAATCAAGAAACTTAAGCACCAAGCAACAGAGAACAGTGAGTCTCTCCTCGGTAACTCCTGCACAAGTTTTGAGGCTTTATCTGCTTTTGTGTGGAGAGCAAGAACCAAGTCGTTGAAGATGTTGAGTGATCAGAAAACGAAGCTTCTCTTCGCCGTTGATGGTAGAGCCAAGTTTGAGCCTCAATTGCCAAAAGGTTACTTCGGAAATGGAATTGTTCTTACAAACTCCATCTGTGAAACTGGAGAGCTTATCGAGAAACCGTTGAGTTTCGCGGTGGGATTAGTCAGAGAAGCAATTAAGATGGTCACTGATGGATACATGAGATCTGCGATTGATTACTTCGAAGTCACGAGAGCAAGACCTTCTCTTTCCTCGACTCTTCTGATCACTACATGGTCAAGATTGGGTTTCCACACCACAGATTTCGGTTGGGGAGAACCGATTTTGTCCGGTCCAGTAGCTTTGCCTGAGAAAGAAGTGACTCTGTTTTTGTCTCATGGAGAACAGAGAAGAAGCATAAATGTGCTTCTTGGACTTCCTGTTTCAGCCATGGATGTGTTTCAAGAACAGTTTTTACAGATATAAATCTGAACAAAAATGGACCAAAAAACAAAAATATCAGGCTATTATTGTCAAAACCTATTCGTTTTACTCTGTTTCTCTTGCTTCCTTTTTTCTGCTGAATTATTATTATCTTCATCTTAAACTTGTCTGTATCTTGCATCAAGTTTCAACCATAAATTTTATATTATTTCAACTATATTGTAATAATATTTTTATATTATTACTTAAATTGTTTCAGAAATCTTGATGTTTTTTAACAAACTAAAACTTATATATAAATAAAATAAACAAAGTCTAAAGATAAAGATACATAAAACAAGAAGACAGAACAGAGTGATCTTGTTCCTGTTAGAGTAGAAACAAACAAAGACTAAGATTATTGCAGTTTGTTCTCTGTTACTTGCCACACAAGTGAAGATTCTTCTGTAAGGGTCTAAAATTTAAAGCTGTAAACCCATAGACACAGAGATTCGACCTCTTGGACTTAAACACAACCTGATCCGTTGTAGTTTTAAAGCCAGGAACGCTGCAAGAATCTTTGGAGCTACCAATCAAGCTTGCCTGACAAGAAGCCATTAGAGAATCTTTCTTTGCTGCTGCGGCGCAAGCAACGCCTTCCAAAGATGTTATGTCTAGCTTGTAGAGTCCAAGCTCATTTGTGGTTCGATTTGCAGAGAACGTTATCATCTCTCTAGTTCTCGACGAAGCTGAATTGAATCTGCAGATTATTCTCACTTCCACACCTGCTTTTTTTTTTGTTCAGTCAAACAAAAGTGAGAGACATTTTAACTTTGATCTAACAATTTCAAAAAATGTTGATAAGATTCTTTACCGGGAATGAAGTAGCTGTGTTTGGAGAAACTGTTGTTGGAGCAGATGTCGCAGTAAACAAGACCCATTACAGTGATCTTTGCATTTGGTTTAGCTGAAGAATGTTTCAGAGACAGAGTGTTTAAGGACAGAAGTTGCAGAAGGAACAGAAACATTATCAGTTTCTTTTCCATGTCCACAAGCTTCAGAACTTTTTTATCTTTGGATAAATAAACACTTGTTTACAGATGAGGTTTCCTTTTTGTTTATGTGGTTGATGAAAGAAACAGACAAAGAATGGGCCAAGAGGTTAAAGACAAAAGAACAAACAAAGATCAAACAGTAACTTCATTCAAACAAAGCTCCAAGCTTGTCTTTTTTTATAAAAATCAAGACTCTTGTGGAGAAAGAGATGAGCAAAGAGAGGCAAAAAGAGATGAGGCCAATTAAAGGAAAAGTAGAGAAACTGAGAGGTTGGGTTTTACATTTATTGAGCTCTCATGCACTCTATTTTAAGGGCTTTTGTGTATGACTCCCCCTAAAAAAAATAGCTAAAACTGGATAATAGAGGGGAGAAGGTAAACCACTAGTGTGTATATATGTATGGACCACTGAAAGTGAAGTGTAAACATCATCAATTCATCAGCATAAACACCAAGAAAGTGGTCAGAGGATATGGCTCTTTAGATATCAATACAAGAAGCCAAAACTATGATATTTTCCCGGTTAAGTCTCGGTTTTGGCTGGATTCTGGTAGAGAATCTCAGGTTTAACCATACAAGATAAGCTCACATTATAGACTTTTGTTCTTCACATTATAGAACAGCTGCATAAGACTTTGCATAACAATTTCAGGTTTAACTATAGAAGATAAGCTCACATTACAAGTTTATCAGTTGGAAACAATATATGGGCTTGAGCTTAAAGAAGGCCCATTAAGTATAAAGTTGTTCTCCTTTGGTTCTTCAAGGATTGTAGATTTTACTTTGATTTTCTGTTTTTTTTTTTTTTTTTCTTTTAAAAAAACTCTTGTAATGCTTCTAAGTGACTCCACCTACTTTATGGATACCATCTGTTGTTTGTCAATCATTTCTACTTTCAACTTTATTTCTCTAGAGAAAAGAAAAAAAAATAACATTAGTTTACCTTTCATCAATTATTTTAAGTTCAATATTATTTTTCCAACATACGAAATTATACAGTAGTTTTATTTTTTGCCAGTACATATAAATCGATTTTTATAGTTGAGAAAAAAAAATTGTGAACAAATTTTTTAAGATGTAAAATCGCTGTAAAACAAACGTTTAAAATTCTTTTCCGTTATCGAATTTCGTTTATGAATGACAAGGTCAAGTAGTCAAGGTAGGAAACAGACCACTAAAAAAATGCCATGTCAGCTAATTCGGTTCTTCACTTTTAAGCTACTAAAAAGTGTTTAGATGTGGAAACCATTGGTTGACCAAAGATTGATTACTATTTCTATACTAAGAGGTCTGGGGTTCGAATCCTAGATATACGATTTATTATAAAATTTGCAGATTAGTTGAAGCAAGTGTGCAGGAAATCTCCAATGTTAGTTGTAGAATCGTCAATGTAACAGTTATCATGTAATTAATAATAAATCTAGAAAAAAAAAAAGTGTTTTGGCTGAACTAAAACGACGGTGACAGACTGACAGTACCTGGTAACAGTCGATTTTTATATATTTTATTTATTGCAAAAAAAAAACAGAGAAGCAACCAAAAAAATAAAAAAAAAAGTGAAGGAAGAAGAAGAAGTAGTAGAAGCCAAGAGCAAATCTAATTCTCTGACTACTCTCACTTTCATGTCGGAGACTTGCCGGAATTTAAAGAATTTCTTCAACGGAGACTGAAAAGCTTTCTCTTTTTTTCTTTCGTTATCTTCGTTTTAGTGTTTTCCCCTTTGCTTACATTTGAAGAAATCGAGAGCAAGCGATAGAGAGAGAGAGAGAGAGAGAGAGAGAGAGAGAGAGAGAGAGAGAGAGAGAGAGAGAGACAGTGAGAAAGAGAAAGAGATGTATGTAGTGACGCCTCCTCAAAGATCCGGTTTTGGATCCGACTGTGATTTACGGGTTTATCAAACATGGAAAGGAAGCAATGTGAGTTTTATCTGAAAGCTTTAGGTTTTCGAATTTCTTGCTTCTGTGTTTATGGTTGAGGTTTTTTATTGTTCCTATTATTGTCCATGGGCTTAGATTAGTCTGTTTCCAATCTTGTCTTAGCTCAAACTTGGGACTTGGTTTTGTGTTAGAAGTGTAGCTTTCTGGGTAGTTGTCTACGGTCCAAGCTTTTGTTGTAGTTGTTGGCAAAAAATTAAGAAGGTTTCAGTTCCAGGTCATGAAATCTTTACCTTTAATCAAGAACTTTGGACATTATCTCAATATGCTTGCTACATTCATAGGATTTGGGACTTGTCTAGCTCAGAAATGGGGACCTGGGTTTGTGTTAGAAATGTTGCTGTAAGGGTAATTTGTCTACAGTCCAAGCTTTTGTTGTAGTTGTTGGCAAAAATCAAGAAGCTTTTTGTTTCATGAAGAAATCTTTTTAATCAAAAACGTGGGGCATTATCTGAAGATGCTGTTGCATTTATAGAAATGCTTCTTGTTACAAAGGTTATATAGTTGATACGGTATGTTTATTGCTTTGCTTTCAATGTCGAAAATTCGAAATAAAGATAAATTTAGTTTAGTAATTAGTAGTAACCTGGTGGAATGAAACATTTAGAAGTTATTACTCATATCTTCCAATTTTGCCCAATTTCTGCAGATATTTTGTCTTCAAGGAAGGTTTATTTTCGGGCCGGATGTAAGATCACTTGGTCTGACCATAAGTCTTATCGTGGTTCCTGTTACGATTTTCTGCATCTTCGTTGGTAGCAAACTAATGGAGGACTTCTCTGATAGTTGGGGAGTATCAATAGTCTTTGTTGCTGTTGTCTTCACCATTTATGTGAGTGCAAAAGTTTTAACTTTGCATTGTAAAACGTTCTGTGAGTGCCTCATTCATAACAATTAATGCTTCCCTCAGGATTTAATTCTGCTGATGCTTACATCCGGAAGAGATCCAGGGATTATCCCAAGAAATTCTCATCCTCCAGAGCCTGAAGTTCTTGATGGCATCACGGGCTCGGGGACAAGCCAAACTCCAAGATTGCATCGCGTTAAAGAAGTAGAAGTTAATGGCAAAATATTTAAGGTCAAGTACTGTGATACCTGCATGCTCTATAGACCGCCTCGCTGCTCACATTGTTCGATTTGCAACAACTGTGTAGAAAGGTTTGACCATCACTGTCCTTGGGTTGGTCAATGTATTGCCCAAGTAAGTTACTCAGTTTTTCGTTTTCCTGTCCTTTAGTTTCTGACATCAGTTTATAATTCATCTCATGTTTCTTGGGGTTTTGCAGAGGAACTATCGATTTTTCTTCATGTTTGTCTTCTCCACGACTCTTCTCTGCATATATGTGTTCGCCTTTTGTTGTGTCTATATAAGGAAGATCAAAGAATCTGAAGATATAACCATCTTGAAAGCAATGCTTAAAACTCCAGCTTCCATTGCTCTGATACTCTACACATTCATATCGACGTTTTTCGTTGGGGGCTTAACATGTTTTCATCTCTATCTCATCAGCACAAATCAGGTACCTAATCCGTTGCCTCTTTCTGAAAAACCTCTCTCATTCGATATGCGTGTTTAATCGTTTGATCATCCTTTATTCTGTAGACTACATATGAGAATTTCAGATACAGTTATGACAGGCTTAGCAACCCACATAACAAAGGAGTGGTTGATAACTTTAAAGAAATCTTTTTCTCTCCAATACCTCCTTCAAAGAACAACTTCAGGGCTATGGTACCAAGGGAAAATCCAATGCCGCCGAGATCAGTTGTTGGCGGTTTTATGAGTCCAAACATGGGAAAAGCCAATGATGATATTGAAATGGGGAGGAAGGGCGTTTGGGCAATGGCTGAGCATGGTGATGGCAAAAATGGCAATAACAATGAACGGTTTCATGTTAACGACAATGAGTTAAACGAGTTATCACCAGACATGAGGACCATAGTTGATGGTGATGAACAAATCGATAGGCCAAGCAATCACCCGAGGAACGCAAACTGGGAAATGTCACCAGAAGTTATGGCCTTATCAGCAAGAAGAGCTTAGAAACAAGTTAAGAGAAAATTGAGAGGTGTTTTCAAATGTTTGATTTATTGATGTATTGTGTGTTTACACGGTAAGCAATTGTGAATTGGTGTGATTTTTCAGATGTTATGAGTATTTTTAGTTGTGATATAATTCAGACAGTTAAATCTTTAATCATTGTGTGTTAGTGTAATCTATGACTTAAACAGTAGTTATCTTTCACAGAATGAGAAAACAAAATGAACACAGAAGATTTTCATAATGTACTTGGCATATGATAAAATTGCAGAAACTGAATTTTCAGACAAGTGGACCAGAAGACCAGACAACTCTTATTATAGTGTTCATTGAAGCACGGCTCTGCAATAAATGCAAAAGAGCTCTAAAGGCTTCTTCTGAGTTCTTAATTAATTTCTTCACTGGTTTTTGATTTGATAAGAAGTAAGGACCATTGTAAAAATCTTCAACCAAAATCATTGGCTTGTAATGTTTGATAAGAGAAAGGTTAGGGATTTACATTACAAGCCAACATTTTTGGTTTAAGAAATTTGAAGATTAGCAATATATAAAGGTTTTTTGAAATTGAACAAAGACAACAGAATCAACAAATTGGTCAAAGAAAACATTAATAGCCTTACAGTAGCAGTCTAAATCATTTTCACAAACATTTATGAAAAGTTAAATGTTTTTAACTGAGGAAGAAGGTAACTGACCAGTCAAACACCAAAAGACAACAAAGAGAGTCAATAACATTGTTCATAATTGTTATTTGTATGCACATGTTATAAATTATATAAAAAGACTAACCATACTTCAATTGAGATGTCACTATTACTGTTTTAGCATCCTCTTCTACTCTTTATTTAGAACCTTTAGTACCTTACCATGTGAGTGAAGAGTTCAAAAACCTCTGCAAAAACTATCTTTTTTTTATCTCTCTCCTCTTTAAACTTACTTTCAAACATTAAACAGCCAAAACCTTAGATACCAAATTTCTAAAGGTAGGCTTTTCTCTTTTGTATTCTCTTAGACTTACCAAAAGAGATTTGTGGTTTCTGGAGTTGACTTTGGGTTTGATTTTGGTGTATTTACAGGGAAAAAAAATGTATAAGAATCAGCTTCAAGAGCTTGCACAGAGAAGCTGTTTCAATTTACCATCATATACTTGCATAAGAGAAGGACCAGATCATGCTCCAAGATTCAAAGCTTCTGTTAACTTCAATGGTGAGATATTTGAAAGTCCCACTTACTGTTCCACTCTCAGACAAGCTGAGCATGCAGCTGCAGAAGTTTCTCTTAATGTCCTTTCCTCTAGAGTCCCTTCAAAATCCTTAACTGCTAAGATTCTTGTAAGTTCTCTGTCTTTTCTTCTTGGTTTTGATCATACACAAAAACTGTAGAAAGTGTAACATCTCACTCTATATTTAAGGATGAGACAGGGATTTACAAGAACCTGCTTCAAGAGACAGCACATAGAGCTGGTCTTGATCTACCAATGTACACAAGTGTAAGATCAGGATCTTGTCACTTCCCAGGTTTCTCTTGTACTGTGGAACTTGCTGGGATGAGTTTTACAGGAGAATCAGCAAAGACAAAGAAACAAGCTGAGAAAAACGCAGCCATTGCAGCTTGGTCCTCTTTGAAGAGAAGTACATAAAACTCTCTCTTCCAAGTTGTTCCATAAACCCCAAAAAAGCTTCTCACTTTTCTAATTGAATCCATCCTTTTCTCTACTGTGCAGTGTCAAGCTTGGATTCTCAAGATGAAGAGAAGGAACAAGAAGCAGTAGCAAGAGTACTCTCAAGATTTAAACCCAAAGAAGTAAGAAGAAGAGAGACAACAAACCAATGGAGAAGAAGAACAAGTCAACAAGATTCAAACAAGGATTTGTTAATTGAGAGATTGAGATGGATCAACCTATTGACCAATCAAGCTTCTTCATCATCATCATCATCATCATCAACACAGAATCAACACAAACAAACAAGTTTCATCCCTCTAATTCCCCCACCACCACCACCTAAATCCTCCAAAATTTTGCCATTTATCCAGCAATACAAAGACATATCATCACAAGAAGCTAAGACAGAGACACCGACAGAGATGATCAGCAGCAAAGCCAAAGTCAATGAAACATCAAACAGATTCAGTAAGCAAATGCCCTTTTCCGACAATGGCAGATACAACTTCGTCGGAGGATGTAGCGTAAACCCTTTAAGTCTGGCTCCAGCAGTTCAAATCAGATCAGTGATTCCAGTTTTCGCAGCTCCACCATCGAAACCAAACCCTAACCCTAACCCATCATCATTATCATCGTCAGTCAATGAATCCACCACATCCAAAAACTCATGTTCTGTTCTGAATACGACGGGATTGGGAGGCCAAAAGAAGAAGAGTCAAAGCTGCGAAATAATCAAACTTGGTTTAGAATCGAGAATTTCGAATCAAACCCATGATTAGTTAGCTAAATTTGGTAAAAGGGTTAATCTCAAATTAAATCCTTGTTAAGTGTTGTCATATAGAAGATCATAATAGACCAGGTTAAGTTTCCGTTTCTTGATTGTGTTCTTGTTGTTTTGAAGTTTTTGAATTTTCTAAGTCCGACATGAACTTTGAATGCTTGCGAATTGCACAGAGAACGAAAACAAAGAGATAGCATTAAATTAGGAAGAAGAAGAAGAGAAATGGGAGTTTGCAAGAAAACAATAAATGGGTTTTGTTTTGTCTTCCTCCATTAATGCGCCGAATGCTCTGTTCTGCTTCCCACTCTTCATCATTAATGGTTTTGTTCTGTAACGTCGGTTCCAATAATAAATAAAAAAAAGTTAATAATTCGGAATTATAAATTACACACATCCACAAGTTACATTTTGTTTGAGGGGAAAATTCCTATAAAAAACTCCAAGTAATTTTTAATTGAAAGTTTAATACCCAATTCTTTTGCGTTGGTCTAAAATTATTTTAGTTAATTAATTGTTGTCAATTAAATCGTAAATTTATTACTGATGGTCGTTTAAGTCATTCGACTTAACAGACGTTTAATCGGCTGACGGAATCCCTAAACCCGGTTTACTGGTTAAGAAAACGTGGTTTATTAGCCTAATTAAAAGACTATAATGCCCTCGTTACTTTCCCCCAAATCGATATATGAGTATGAGACCAAGAACCCTAGATCAAAACTTCCATTTTCACAACAATTAGAGAGATGTTGAGTCAATGTTCTGGGTCTGATGCCAATTCGGTGAGCAGAAGTTGGGGTCCTCTTTGCAACTGTGGTAGGGCGACAACGATTGTTAAAGCATGGACAAACGAGAATCCGGGAAGAAGATTCTTCAGATGTGGTGTTCATGGGTTCTTCGATTGGGCTGATCAAGAGAAGCCATATGGTTGGCAGAAGGTGAGCTTATTAGAAGCAAGAGATGAGATTCGTCAGCTTAAAGAGGAAATAAAGATGCTTAAAGAAACTGTGAAGACGAAGAATGATCAAGGTATCAGTGCTTCGACGAATTTGGAAAGTGGTTTAGGGATTAGATACGAACAAGAGAAGGCAAAGCTTGAAAGTGAAGTTATGGGTGCTAATGAGAGGGAGAAAATGCTTCGGCAGTTCATTGTGTTGTCTTGGGGGTGCTTCATTGTTGTTATTGCCATGATACTTGCAATGGGGAAGTAGTTTTCGTTTTGTTTGTTGTTGTTGTTGTTGTTGTTGTTTTCTGTGTTGTTGTTGTTGTTTTCTGTTTTGTTGTTGTTGTGGTATGACAAGTTTGTAAGTCTTGTTTGAACTAATGGGAGTTTCATAAAAAGTTAATCCAACATAAGAGCCAAAAAGAGCTGTTTAGTCATAAGGATCCCACCAAAAACATACAAGGATCCCACCAAAACAATCATCATCCAACTTAAGCAGCATCCTACATATCATATCATCCTACATAATCCTAATCCTACATCAGAAAGATCCTAAAAGACATCAATAAGATCAGCCTATTTCTTGCCAGGCTGCCAAACATCAAACACTTTGTCAGTCCATGGGGACATAAAGAAAACAGGCGGTCTAGGAGCTTCATTTTTGCCAGCACCTTTGCCACGACCCTTGCCAGCACCTTTGCCACGACCCTTGCCTTCACCATTCTTAGTTCCTAGAGGGCGTCCACGAGCACGTCCCCTACCACTTGGATTAGCTGCTGGAGCACTTGAATGCTGAGGTACTTGTGTAGACTGACTTTGAGAACCAGATGGTGTGGACTGGCTTTGAGCTTGTTGCCACCTCTTTGGAGCATTGTTAATGCTCCATGGATCATCATTATCCTATGAATAAGACATACTTTGATCAAATCTGAATAAGACATAACTCAAAAGAGGCAATACTCAAAATGTCAGATTACTCTTACAAAACATTTCCTTGGTCTGCCTCTTTTGCGTGGAGCTGCTGCTTGTACACTAGCATTTTTGCATGTTCCTTTATTATGCCATGACTGCTTACAGTTTGAACAACTCACAGTGCCTCCTTCTCTTGTAGACTTTGTAGGATTAGTTGCTGATTCACCTGGTTCCAGTATCCTAGCAAACTTCTTAGGACGCCCTCTCTTCTTTCTTTTATCAGGCACTTCTATTGGTCCTTTTTTTGTTCTCTTCCACAACATCTCTCCATTCACAGGTGCTATGTTGTCCTTATTGTTGCTTACCAGACGCTTGAGGAATGGTCACAATCTCTGTCTTGGTATCCTTATTAGACCTTTGAAGTTCAGCCTCATAATCCCATAGCTTTGCAAATTGTTGCCTTTGTGTTTCTATCACCAAATCAAATGCCATTCGTCTTGCTTTCTGGCATATCCACTTAGAAACAGAGAGTGTATACCTCATCATTATCTCATCTTTGATGTCAGTCCACCTCAATTCAGGCCTTCTTCTTGCTTCATCTCTGAACATTCTAGCAATGACTCCCTGCTTCAACATCCTTGCTTTCCCGCTAATAGAATGGTGGTGTTCATCAACATAAGTCATGACTACCCATTTTGCTGGACGCTTATGTGCAGAGCAATAGATCTTCCAATTGCAATTCTCACGACTACATATAGCTGCCAGTTTTGTTGCACCCCATCTACAAAGCTTCACATCATAATTAGTCTTCAATACATACCTCAAGAGCTGATCCTTGAACTCTTCCCCACTGTTGAATTTCTGAGCTATCCAGAGGTA